GTCAAGGGGGGGGTCGAGAAGAGGGGGGGGTATTGTATGTAAAAGAGGGGATGCGAATGTTGGACGGAGGGTGGACGCGTCCAGAGGGGGGGTCAGGGGGGTACGGCAGTTTTGGATTTTGCATCTCGGCTGCATCCAATGGCGTGAGAGATGGGCGACCTGAAATGGGCGGCCCCGAATCACGGACACGTCGGCGAGGACAGCGACGGCGTCGTTGGTGGAGCGCAGGGGCGAGGGCGTCGACCGACGGGCGGCGCACCAGGACTCCAGGAGGTCGCGGAACGACGGGTCGAGCCCCTCCGCCAATCGAGGCGGCGGTCGAGACGGTGAGCGGCTGACGTCCTCGCGGGTGGCGCGGAGTACGGCCGACACTACGTGCTGCGGCAGCCCGCGGAGCCGCAGGAGGCGCGGCGGAGCGGCTGCGCGTGGACGCGACGGCGAGGCTGGCCGGGCACGCTGTCATCGAGATAGGCACGCACGTCGAGATCCTAGGCGAGCAGGGGTGGTGGCCGGCCACCATCACGTGGCGGGAGGTAGGTTCGGGCGGCCGGCTCGTGTGGATGCGGTCGAGTACGACGGCTACCCGGACGCCGAGCCTCTCCTCTCCTTAGAGGAAGAGACGTGGAGGCAGGTGACGCTCGGCGCCGGCGGCGCGGCCCCTAATACCAGCGGCGAGGCGAGCGACGGCGAGAAGAGCGACGGCGAGACTGGGGACGCGCTGCCGTCCAGCGCGACCAACGTCGGCGGCGCGGTCGATACCGGCGGCGAGGGGAGCGGCGTCGAGAGGGGCGGCGGCAGCAGCCGGGATGGCCAGCGGCGCCACGTACGTCGCACGCGGCGGCGGTAGCCGGGTACGGGTGCGGTAGGTCATATACAGGGGGGTGCGGTCGTGAGGCTCTCTGTACGGTATCGTACGGCTCTACAGTATGAGAGGCGTGTCTGATACCTTCTCGAAATGGCGGGAGCGCTGCTCGGGGATGGAGAGGGAGGTGGGTGCCCTCTGTAAGATCTCAAGCTCGAAATAGAGAATTTTCAGAGACGTTTGGCGTAGGGACCTGGCTTGCGGCAGCGAGGTGGCATGCACACGCTAACAGGGTCATGCGCGCAAGACTTGGCCAAAAGTGAGGAGAGGGTTGTCGCTGTCGCCGGGAGCGCGATCTTCCTCGATGCCCTGGGGGGGGGGGTCCCGACCCCCCCAGCAGCAGAGCGCTGCTGCTGGGGGGGGGGGGGGGGGTCCCGACCCCCCCAGCACCGCAGCAGCAGAGCAGAAGGCATTGGACCCAGCTCTCCCGCCTCTTCGCCGCCGCCGCCCCCTCCCACCTCGGCTCGTGTTTTAGCGGTACGCTCGAGGCGGCTGTGTTCACCGCGCCTTCGAGCCCAATACACCTTCGTCGTGTCGAGTGCTGGCGTTTTACTAAAGACTTGTGACCATGTGAGTCTATGTTGTACTACCACCACTAACAGCCGTATAGTGAGCCACTCACTCGGGCGTCTCGGCTGACGATGATCGGTCAGCGTTGATCTCTCTAGCCTATCGGTCCCCCGCTCGATCCTAAGGAGTGCGCGGAATGCCAGGCGGGCCGCCTCGCCGTCGCCGACGCCATCTCGCAGAGGCTTGGCGCAGAGGTCATCGCGGCGAGGAAGAAGAAGCTCACTGATCACCACCAGTGGATATACAAGCAGCGGGATTGCCTCGACCTACTTATCAATGAGGGCTCTGGGAACTTCCGGCTCGTCGAGGCCGCGGACAAGTGCGGCGACGAATGCTTGTTCCTGCCGGCCTCCCAGCGCGCGTCGAGTGCAAACACGTCTCGATACAAGTACCGCGTGTCGGTGCAAGCCAACTGCTTTGTCGGCAAGCTGTTCCAGCTCAATGTGCTTCTGCCCAATCTGACTACCGGCGCCAACTTTGGGATGACGTCATCCATCCTCGGGCTTGCTCGGCTGATACAGTCCCGTGAGATCACGCCTCAGCATCGGCGGTACCTCCGTAGCAACGACGGCGGTTCCGAGAATTGCAACTTTGCCTCCCTCGCTCTGAACTCCACGCTCGTAAAAGAGCGCGTGTTTGACGAGGTGGTAATGACGCGCCTGCCGCCCGACCATTCCCACCACTACCTGACTGATGGTGCCTTCTCGGTCATTGAGGGCTGGCTCACAGGCAACGGCTTTGCTGGCTGCCACACCGTCTGGGACCTAATCAAGTTTCTGCGCGGAAAGTTTTCGACTGCGAGCAACTACAGCAACAAGCGTGTGGAGATTAGCGTGCTGATTGCAAACTTCGCCTTTGTCAAGTGGTTTGATGGCTGCGTGAATGCGGACAAGATCTCGAACATCGCCGTGCCTCTTGTCTGGCGCCACACGTGGGTGCCGGAGACGCAGACGGTGCGAGTGCAGTACAAGTACGCCATCTCCGACTCACCAACGTTCGAGAGGGACGAGTGGGGGCCGTGGATGCAGACCCAAGTTCAGACAAACGACGCGACGGGGAAGGTGGTGACAGTTGGAGTTTTGCGCAGCGACCCGGCAGGCGTGGACCTGATGTGCAAGTACCCGGACATCGCTGCAGACCCCGGTGTGGAGCCTTGGAAGGCGGCGGATGATTGGGAGATGAAAAAGGTGTTCAGTGATCTGGCTAAATGGGACTTTGGGCAGGTCCAGCAGTCGCAGGCAGCGCGAGCCGCGTGGTCAGAGCTTGGCAACTGGCATCTCTCGAACCCGGCCGCTGACACCTTTGTTGCCAGCAAGCAGGAGGTCATGTCGCAGGGAGCTGCTCTGCCCACGCTACCAGAGTCGTCCCTCTCTTGGAACAATCTGTGGTCTATTCTCAAGAGGAACGCTCCCGTGCCGCTGCAGCGCGCCCCCCAGCCTGCCGCCCCGCCGCCGCCACCAGTGGCAGGGCAGAGCCGGCGACACGATCGCGAGCATCTCGGCACTACATCCAGTGCAGCCGAAGCCAACATCGTCATTCACCCAGGGTATACAAAGGCAAATCAGGCGGAGGCGCGTCTTTTGGATGACCGCGTGCGGCATGCTTACGTGCGTGACAACTTGGAGAAGCAAGACGCCGTCTTCTTTGTCGAACTGGGGGAGCTCGAGGGGGAGTTGGCCGTTGGGCTGGCCCGTCGCACTTTCAACTCTGAGCAGGACAAGCTGCAGGACGAGGTGTACGAAATGCAGTGGTATCGCCGCAAATCTACGAACCACAGCTGGGGACAGGGGCCTACATTCAAGCTGGCTACAAAGACGGAGGGGCGACGCAAGGTGCCTGAGGTTGATATGATTTCAATTGATACGATCATCCCGCTCGCCGTCCAGATGACGCGTGGGTCGTCGTCAAGCAGTGTCAAGCTGACCAAGTGCTGCATGCAGGCTCTGCGCCAGCTGCACGACAAGGCTGAGACCCGAGGCTCCGAGTCTGGCTCTGCCTCCGCGGAATCTGAGGATGATTCTGACGACGATGATGCGCCCCGCCCCCCCTCTAAGCGCTGCCGCGCCGGCAAGAGCGTCCTCTGCAGTGATGATGAGGAGATTTGAGCTCCTCTCTCTGAGTGTGTTTGTTGGTTACTTAACTTGGCATACATCCTTAGAGTGCTACACGCACACACTCCACGTGCGAATGTGAACATGTTCTGTCGTCAACCGAGAGCTAACCGCCCCACCGCCCCAGCGCGGGGCATCGTGGTCACGGGAGTTGCACACGGCGCACCCAGCACGTGGTGCGGCCACTCCCACGCCGGCGGGGGCATACGCGGTGATGTGTGCATCTGATTTGCTCGCAAAATTGACAAGTTTGCAGGCAAATTGTCTGAAAATTTGACATTTCAAATCCATAAGAGTGACACTATGGATTCCGGGTGACACAGGTTGAACACCTCCGACGCCGACATGAAAGAAATGGCATTCGAGCCCAGTTACGTCGCTTTTGCCCTGCGGCTTCTGCAGTGGTCGTTGTACACTGCACCGAGCTAAGTGGCTACACAATGCCTCCGCTCGTTCGCGGCAGGCATGTTGCGAGAAGCACCTCTGCTCTGATGCTGCGTTGAGCGTTGTTGGCGGCGGCAGTGCAGTGAGGTGGGCTCGGCGGCGTATTGGGGTGCGAGGCTGGACCACGCATGTCTACGAGGCTGGCACGTTCGGCTCTCTCTCCATCAAGTTCTTGGGAGCATCGCCCGACGTTGGCTCGAGAGCGTCGGCTCGAGTGCAGCTCATCTTGAGCCCGACCAATGCGGATCGAGTTTTATAGACCTTCGATTTCGAGGCTCCGACGGCGGGATCGCACCACACGCGATTGCTTCATTGTCGAGGAATTGGTTGAAATGGTGCACCGTTCGGTGTCCGTCGCGTCGTGATGTGTCGCGTCGTCGGTCGGCTCGGTCCGTAGCCTCGATCACAAAGTTTCTATTGACAAGAAAGTTCGTAAGAGCTACATACATCGAGAAAACACTGCAGCCTCTCTGATCCTTGGCGAGCACGGCTTGAACCGCGGCGAGAATTTTTTTCCAACCCGTCCGACGGTGCCGCCCCCCCGCCCCCGCCCCCCCCTGCTCGAGTACAGACAAATTCGACAACGCCTATCGACAGCTCCATCGACATGTCCATCGAGAACACGGCCTGTCACCGCAGCGGACAGGCTGCCTCCATCACCTGTCGGCGACGGCGGTGAACTCGCGCCTCTCAGCTCTCTCTCGCGCTCGCACACGCGCTCAGGTTCTTGTTCTCTCTCTCGCGCGCTCTCTCGCTCTCCCTCGCTCTCTCTCCCTCTCTCCCTCTCTCTCTCTCTCTCTCTCTCTCTCTCTCTCTCTCTCTCTCTCTCTCTCTCTCTCTCTCTCTCTCTCTCTCGCTCTCGCTCTCGCTCTCCCTCCCTCCCTCCCTTCCTCGCTCTATCGATCTCTCTCGCCCTCTCCCTCCCTCCCTCGCTCGCTCGCTCGTTCCCTCACTCTCTTGGGCCTACCTCGATGATCCGCATCCCGCACGGCCAAGCTCCACCCTTTTGCCCGCAGGCAGACCGCCCCGCGCCGGCGCCGCGCTCTTCGAGGTCTGAAACTAGAGATGTTAGTACACACTCAGCCCCACAGGGTCATGCGAGGATAGTGTGGGTTCCACCAATCGTAAACGTGCACCGTCCGGACCACGTGATTCGGGTCGGTCGCCTGCATCGGCACGGGCGGTGGACCCAAGGAGGCCATGAACGCGCGGTGGCGCTCCTCGGCTCTGGCCGCCTGGCTCTGCTGACGGCGCTCCTCTTTACGCTGCATCCAGGCGAGCATCGGCACGGGGAACAGCGGAGCGCTGGGCGGCGGAGGCAGCGGCGGAGGCGGCGGCTGGGCCTCCTCAATCGCGCGGGCGATCTCCTGAGAGGACCATCGCTGCGGCTGCGGCGGCGGCGGCGGCCCGACCGCCTCATCCTCGTCGACCATCATGGCGGCGAGGCGCTCCTCATCCTCGCACGGCTCCTCCTCCCACTCCGCGGTCGGGCTGAGGTAGCGCGAGCCCGCGAGCACGCGGGTGGCGGCGCCCTGCACGCGCAGGCCGGCGCACGAGTAGCACTCCATCGGGTAGTAGCGCAGGAAAGGCGTGTTGCGGACGCTGATGTGCGGCTCGCCTTGAGTCGGCGCGCAGCATACGTGGACGGATCCGCGCTCATCGCAGAATCCCGCGCGGCTCAGAGCGGCGTGGCACCTATAAGCGTGTTGGGGAGGTTGGGGTGTGTCTCTCAGCCGTCCCGTCGGTGTCGGTTGTTAGTGAACGTTGTCGCATGCTAGAGCCACGTACCACTTGCAGCATGCGAGCGAGGCGACGGCGAGGAGCGGCTCCGTCGTGCAGCCCGCCGCCTCAAGGTGGCGGACGAGCTCCAGCCCGAGGCGCAGCGCGTTGCGCTCGGCGTGCTGATGCAGCGCGTGGTTGTGGCGTGGGCCCTTGGCCGCGAGCATGCCGAGCAGCTTCTGCCTCCCGTCGGGGTACGTGACCTCGTACAGCACGATTGCGCCGATCCGCTTGTACGGGCCTACAACGAAGGACTCCGTGAATGTTCACAGCTCTCTCGCGGGTTCGAACGCTCGTTCGCGGCAACGGCCCTCGGCGCAGTTGCTTTTCGCGGCGCTGCGCAGCACCTGGTCCTCGCACTGCGCTTTGACGTCGTCGAGATAAGCGAGGCGGTCTGCGTCCTCGCCGTCGCCAATCTCGATCTCCACGAGGTGCTGCCGCAGGTGCTCGGGCAGCTCGGTCGGGAGCGGAGGCTGACTCGTCTGCGGCAATGGAGCACAGCGGGAGGCGGACTCGAGCAGCTGGGCGAGCAGCGCCTGTGGCAGCTCGGCGGCCAGCTCGGCCGCCTCCTCGAGCGCGCCAGGCTCGGCCACAACCGCCCGCTGAGCTGCCACGTCGCGCAGCCTCCGCGAGCCGCGCACGAGTCCCTCGACCAGCGACGGCACGTCGGAGCCGCAGTCGGCGACGGCGTCGGCGCTCACCATCGAGCCAAGCCAGTCGATGCACGGCGCCAAGGCCACGGTCGGCACGCACTCGACGAGGTCGGCGATGCAGTCGGTGGCGGTGTCGAGCGTGCGCAGCAGCTCAGCTCCCGCCAGCCTCTCGAGTCGTCGATCCGAGAGCTGCCGCAGCACCGTGACGGCGTGCGTCCAGCGCCCCGCGAGCAGCGCCGCCGCCTCGACGTCCGCCGCCTCCGCGGGAGGCTTGCGCTGCGACAGCAGAGACTCAAGGCGCGCCTCGGCCAGCTGGGCTGCCTCGGCCACCACCACGCACGCGGCGACGGCAAGCGCGTCCTCGATGTGATGGCGGTACGTCGAGGAGAGCCAGGTGCTGCCTTTGAGCGCTGCGAGTGCCGCAATCACGGCCGCCTCCTCCCGTGCTAGGCCGGAGTCGGCGGGCGCAGCGGCGGCGGGTGCAGCGGCGGCGAGGGCCGGCGCGGCCGAGGCACGATCGAGCACTCGAAGCGCTCCGCGCCAGTCGAGCGCACGCACCGCCTTCAGCGTGGGCAGCAAGTAGCGCTGGCAGGCCCGCTCGATGACCGCGCCATCGGTCTGCAGAGCCGCGATCAGGCGCGAGTGAAGCCACGAGAGGTCGCCCTCGAGAGTGCCCTCGGCCGCGTTTGCCAGCCCCGGCCACCGCGCCGGCAGCGCGATGACCGCCTCCATGGCGTCAGGCGCGTCGGCGTGCCCGAGCCCGAGCAGCAGCGCCGCACGGGCGTCCAGGGAGGTGCCGGCGGCACTCGCGTCGAGGTAGAAGCGCAGTCGCTCAAGCCCCGCTCGGTGCTCGTCAGGCACCGACCTCCTCACCGCGGCGGAGCACAACGCCTCGAGGAGGTCGGTGCCCTCCGCCTGCAGCGCGCGCCGCGAGAGCTCTCCGCGCAGCCCCGACTGCGCATCCTCCCCTCCACCCCCTTCCTCTCCTCCCTGGCCAGGCTGCTGTCTCTCCTCCGCCTCCAGCCTCGCCAGCGCGACGCGGGTCGAGAGCAGGCCTGCCTCGCCGACGCCGAGGCGGATGCCCGCCTCGCGCGCGTACGCGTCGCGCCAGCGGGTGAAGAGCCGGAGGTGCGCCGTGGCGGCCTCCTCCATTGCCTTCCACCCGCTGCACGCCAGCTGCCCCCACCCCTCCTCCTCTGCGGCGCGCGCAATCGCGCCCACCCGCTGCACCTCCGCCTCGGCCCACGCAGCCGAGCGGTGGTAGAGCCAGTACCACCGCGTCGCCACCGCCGCTCGGCCCTCCGCTGGGTTGGCCGACTGGGCGTCCCCGCTCACGCCGGTGCGCCTCGTGCTGCGCGCAGGCCCGCCACCGCCGCCGCCCCTGCGGCCCCTCCTCCTCTCGTCTCCGCCGGCGCGCCCCTCCCGCCCCTCCCGCTCCTCCGCCGCCCCCTCTGGCGCCGCCTCCTCCTCCTCTCCCTCCTCCGCCCAGCTCCTCCTTCGCGCCCGCTCGCCAGACTGGCCTCCGCCCCCATTCGCTCGCAGCTGCACGAGGAGCTGCGCGAGGAGCTGCGCGAGGTGGTTGGGAGGGCCCCTCCGCGACGGCTTCCACGCGGAGTCGACGGGCGCCCAGCGTCGTGTCAGAGGCAGAGCAGAGCCAGCGCCACCATCCGCTCCCTGTGCCTCCCTCGCCCCGAGGGGAGGCGCCGCGCCGCCCGTGCACGGCCCCTCGCGCGGCCCCTCCCCTTCCTTCTCCCCGCCCTCCTCCACCTCCTCCACCTCCGCCTCCGCCTCCACCTCCATCACCTCCGGCTCCACCCCGCGCCTCCCCTGCACCTCCCCCTCTTGCTCCCCGGCCAGTGCACCGCCCCCGGACGGCGCCTCGCCGCCCGGCTGACGTTGGTCCGACTGGAGTGCCGACTGGGCGTCGCGCGGGCCGCCGACCGCGCAGCGCGCCGCCGCCCCGCACGCGAGCGAATCCGCAGCCCGCGCGAAGGCAGCCGCCCCCTCGGCCGCGAGCCGCGCCGCCTCGGCCAGCTTTGCCGCCTCGACAACCTCGGCCGGCGGCCCGCACGCCGCGCCGCACGCGTCCTCCAAGCCCGACCAATTAGCGTCCTCACCGCTCGCCGATCCCTCCGGCGCCGATCCCTCCGGCGCCGAGGCGGCCGCGTCGCCCGCGGCCGCTGCTGCTGCCTCCCACCGGCGCGCCGCCCCGGCCTGCGCCTCGGCCGCCTCGGCCGCCCTCTCACTCGCCAAAGCCGCGTCCTGAAGAGCCACACAGCGGGCGACGTCGCTTTGGCAGGCGGCGATCTTGCGTTGCCGCCCTTGCTCCTCCTCCTCCTCCAACTCCTCCCCCTCCGCCTCCGCCAACGCCGCAAAGGCCGCGAGCATCCCGGGCCCCTCCTCCTCGGCCGCCCGCCTCGCCTCCGCCTCGGCTTCCTCCGCCGCCCGCCTCCGCTGCACCACCACCTCCTCCGCCCAGGCGGAGGCGGCAGCGGCGCGAAGCTGCTCGGCGGCCGCACCAAACGGCCGAGAGCGACGGCCGAGTCGGTCGAGGTGAGCCCCCTGCCCGCTCCGGTCCAACTGCGCCAGCCCCACCTCGCTTAGCGACTTTCGCAGGCGCACGAGGTACTTCGCGAGGGTGTACTCGCTCAGCCGGTGGGGGTTGGCCGCGCCGCAGCGGTCGGCGGCCGCGTTCTTAGAGTAGATGCCCCGAGGCAGCGCGGCGAGTAGCGGGATGAGTGTTGAGGGGTCCTGTGGTGCAGGGGCTATTGCAATAGGGGAATGGCCTGGTGCTGTGTCGTCGATAAGTGTCCGTTGGGGCGTGTCGCAGGGCGGGTGTGTCGTGGTTCGTGCGGAGGTGCCCCCCTCCCCTCCCCCCCTCCCCCCCCCCCCACCCCCACCCCCACCCCCACACATCGCGGCGCGTCGCCGAGAGGAGTGGGTTGGACTTGGAGGGTTTGGGTATGCTCGCACTCGGGCTCCTCTCGACTCCTCTCGACTCCTCTCGGCTCCTCTCGCTGCCTCGCTCCTCACCTCGGCTCCCTCTCGGCCTCCCTCCGCTATTCTCTGCCCCCTATCCTCCTCCCGCCCCCCCCCCGCCCCCCCACTCCCCTCGACTCGCCTCGGCTCCTTCTCTGCGCGTCCCGGCTCCTCTCTGCCGCCTCTGCCCAGAGCTCCCCCTCGGCCTCTCTCGGTCACCTCTCTGTGTGTCTCGACTCTCTCGGCTCTCGGCTCCTCTCTGCACGTCCCTCCTCCTCCCGGCTCATCACGACTCCTCTCGGCAAGCCTCGGCAACTCTCGGCGAATCTCGGTCGAGTCGCTCATCTCCGAGTCTCTCCGTGCCGCTGTGTGCGTGCGGCGGTGCGGGTGGGGGGTGGGGAAGGGTGCACGCGTGGGTGTGGAGGTCTCGCGGGGCGAGAGAGAGCTGCATATGCGTGGCGCGGGCGACACGGGGGTGGCCGGGGAGTGGCGTACGCGACGCGTCTCGTGCGGGCGGTGGCGAGGTGCTCGAGCGTGGCGGGGTGTGTGTCAGGGCTGCGTACGTGGGGACTGGGGTGCGGTGGGGCGTGCGCGGGGCGAGAGTGCTCGAGCGCGGAGAGCGCTGCGTGCGTGGCGCGGGCGCGGCGGGGCTGGTCCCTCGCGCAACGCGGCGGGCGGGGACGTGCGCACGAGGCGTGCTTCGGGCGGCGGCGCGTGTGTGTGGGAGCGTGTGAGAGGCACGTCGCCGTAGCTACGCGTGGGTGGGTGGATGGGAGGGCACGCGCGGGGCGAGTCGCTCGTGCGTGGAGAGCGCTGCGTGCGTGGCGCGGGCGCGGCGGGGCTGGTCCCCCGTGCTACGCGGCGGGCGCGGCGGGCTGGTGTCGGTGCGCTGAGATGTCGGAGTCCGCACGCGTGTGTGCTGAGCGAGAGTCCCGCGCAGCAGTCGGCGTCACGTCGACCAGAGCAGCGTCCAGTGACTGTCGGGTGAGCTGGCGTGGGGCGAGAGGAGGGAGGCGAGGTGCTCTATCTCTACATCTAAAGAGCCACACCTTCTCGCAAGCCTCGAGCCGCCGCGTCAGCAGCACCGTGCGGCACGCGGCCAGCGCCTTGCTGCACAGCACCTGGCCCTCTACGCAGCCGTCGCGGTGCCGCCCTCCCGCCTGGTACAGCGCGCGCAGCGCGCAGGCGAGCGACTCCGCCGCTGCAGACAGGCCCTGGGGCGAGGCAAGCTGGGGCTCCTCTGCGAGGCGCAGCACCGTCTCGCACTCGGACACCGAGAGCGAGCGCGCCGCGACCTCCAGCCGCTCGTCGACGAGCCCCGCCGCTGCCCGTGCAAACGGGGCCGGGAGCTGCGCGAGCACCCGCGACGCCGCCTCGGGAGGCAGCAGCAGCTGCTGCAGCGCCGCCTGGAAGGCCTAGTCGGTCAGGAGCGCCTCTGCGAGAGAGCTGGCGAGAGGAGAGCGAGGGGCAAGGCGAGAGGACCGGCGCGAGCGAGTTTTGGAGCCCGTGCGGCACCCGCTCTTGCACCAGCCGCAGCAGCGAGTCCAAGCCGCCGTCCTCGGCCGCCGCGGCGGCAAACTCGGCGGAGCTCGTCACGAAGCAGCGCTGGGGCGCGAGAAGCGCCGCCGGCGCGACCTGGTCGCCCAGCGTCCGCAGCTCCGCGTCGACGCAGCGCGAGATGTGCTGCGCCACCGCTCCGACATACGCACCCAGTTTGGCGGGCGAGCCCTGCGACCCGTTGGCGATGCCGAACTTGTCGTGGTAGAGCCGCCGCCACGACTGCGCTCCTGCGGCGTCCGCGCCACCGGCGCGGGGAGTGGCGAGTGAGCGATCGCACTGGTGGCCCGGATGGAGCGACACGAAGCAGGCGGCGTACCGCAGCGCCTTGGTCGGTGACAGGCGCTGGCCAGGTCCGCAGCGCGGCTGCTCCACATCGCACGGGCTGTCAGCGCCGAGCGCGCGTGCGATGATAATCAGTACGGTCCCGAAGCGCACGGCCGTCGCCTCCAAGCGGTACCACATGGCGTGCGCAGCAATGTCGCATGTGGCAACTGATTGAGCAAGACGTGCGTGCGTGAGTGCCATCAGCATGCGCTCTTCCTCGCTGCCATTCCACGCCCCGAGGTACTTGACTTCATTGCCGGACTTGCGTTTGCAGCGCACGATGAGAGCCTCGAGCCGCTCGAGGAGAGCGAGCTGCCGCGCCCAGGCAAGCCCAGAGTCTTCCCCGGCGGGCGGCGGCGACGCGAGCGCCGCCGGGACGATGGCGAGCGGGCCCGCCGAGTGCTCGCCGCCCGCCTCCTGCGGCCCATCGCCGGCGCGGACGCGCTTCGCGGAGGCGTCGAGTCCATCGCTGGCGCGGCGCTTGTCTCCCGGGTCCGCCATCGAGGAGTGCGCGTGCGTTTCTTTATCGCACTGCCACTCTTATATCGCACTGACGTTAATTAAGACGCTGTACACACCGGGTGGAGCGAGACACCCACTTGCGAAACCAAAGAATCCAATACAGGGTGGAGTGAGGACAATCCTCACATGACGTGTACCCTGAGCATTGTCGCGGGGCCGTGTGCGATCTTGAGCTGAGCTGAGCGGCCGCGCGGTGAGAGAGAGAGATTTTGTCGCGCGGTGTGGCGGGGGAGCCGCTATGTGCGAAACCCGGTGTTGATGCGCCGCCGCGTGAGAAATCGCGTGAGCCCAGTGATTCTATCAGCCCGCAACGAGAGCCGTGTCGCCCTGTCGGTGCGAGCAGATGACCGTGGTTTTTGGGGCAAGGGAACTCTCCTCCTCCGCCCTCGCCTCCCGGACTCCCCTCCCACCCCTTCGTCTCCGCCAACCGTCACCCTCAGTCGCTCCTTGAGAACGCAATCATGGCGCACGTCGTCCGTCGGACCTCGGCAGCCCCGACTGCGGACGGCGCGTACCGCGTGCTGGACGACTACCCGGAATTCGGCCGGCTCGGGCCGGCGCGGGGCATGTGCGACGATCAGCGCTTCGTGCGCGACCCGAGGCTCTCTTACTGCTCGGCCACTTGGATCAGTGAGGACAGGGCGATCACGGCCGGCCACTGCGTGTACATCTAGCAAACGTGCGACAACGCAGCGTACGTCTTCAAGTATACTACGTGACCCCACCTTCCCAGAGATCACCACCGACGACGTGTACCTTTGCTCCAGCGTCACCACCGACTTTGCGGACGGCGGCACCGAAGAGAAGAGGGAGGTGGTAGGATGGGTGCGGTGGTGGGATGGGTGAGGTGGTGGGAGTAGTTAGATTAATTAGTTGAGTGAGGGTATGATTAGTTTGGTGAAGAATATGTGAGTTGACAGAGGTTGTTGTGAATGGTTGATGTGACTTATGTTTGTTCAATTCCTCTACTCTCTACTATCATGATGTCAATATTATATTCATAGATGATTTTTTGGAGGTGTGTAGAGTTGCGTAGAGTTTTATTTGGGTAGGTAGGGGTGAGGTGAGGAGGTGGGGTGATGGAGATGGGAGTGGAAATGTGGTGCACCGTTCGGTGTTCGTCGTCGTGTGTGTCGTCGTCGGTCGGTGTCGGCGGGCTCCGGTCCGGCGAGCTTAAGTCACAACTTACTCATCGAACGCTGCCCCCGGCAGCGTCTGCCTCCCACGTCCAAGCGCCGGGCCGAGGGCGAGGGCGATGGGTGGTCAAGGCGGAGCCGACCGTGGCGCGAGGACTTGTCTGTCCTGGTCGCGCAGCGCCTCGAGCTCCTCACGAAGGCGGGTGCGCCGTGGCCGCCGCCGACGGGTGCCGCTGCCGCCTCTTCTGCTGCCGTCGGCGTGCACCGTCCCCGCGCCCGCATCGTCGACTACTGGCCTGGCTCGGCGGGGATACGGCAGGAGCTGCAACGCTGGCTCGAACGCCTCGGCTGGATCGTCTCGCAGACGGATCGCGCCGAGTTGGACAGCTTGGGCAGCTGCGGCCGGCAGATTGGCGACTCGTGCGGCATCGTGGCGTGTGCTGTGGTAAACTTGCTGCTTGCTGCTGCGGCCGGTCCGTGGTTCACCATTAATCTGCCGCGGCGCGACCATATCGCCGCGGCGCGGCGCGCCCTCGGGATCGTCGACCGTGATCGAGACCGAGCAGGTGATCCAGCTCGTCGACATCCGCCGGGGACTACAAGCGAAATTCTACCGCCACCGCCAAGCCCACCGCCGCCATCGCCACACACCCCCGCCCTCTCCACCTCCTCCGTCTCCGCCGCGCCACCATCACCGCCCCCGCCGTCACCGCCGCCGCCCTCGCCACCACCGCCATCCCCACCACCGCCATCCCCACCACCTCCGGCACCACCGCCTCCGGCACCGCCGCCTCCCACGCTCCCTCCCCTCCACCACCGTCGCTGCCAGCTGCGTGGGCGCACGTGCGCGGCATCAAACGAACGACCGCAAGTTACCATCCACCGCCAGGTAAGGAAGGGTGCGACGCAGTGGTATATAGTATTGAGTTGTTGAGAGATGTGGATATTATATGGGGAGTTGAGGTGGATATAATTTTTTAATATTAATTATAAAGAAGTATAAAAATAATATAAAGTGTTAGAGCTGTTTGGTATTGCTAAAAATCGAGTAAAAATATGGTTGTGTTGAAGAAGATGTTTTTGAGAAAAGGAAATTTGATAATTAAAGTGTGAATAAATATGTGTTGTGTTGTGGTGTGAGATTGTGTTTATGTTGGGATGGATATTTGTTTGTTGTTTTGTGTTTGGAGGTGGAGGTGGAACATATGAATTTTGGAGTAAGGTATGGTGGTAAGGTGGTAACGAATGGCGGAGCATTGGGCGGCGGGAAAACAGCTGGGCGGGGGCGAGGGTGAGGCGAGGGCGTGGCGGCGGTCCGGATCACGAGGAAGTAGAAAGTTGGGCGGGAGGGTGAGGCGAGGGTGGCGGCGGTTAAGATCACGAAAAAGTAAAAAGTCGGGCGGGAGGGTGAGGCGCGTCTGAATTCGGACGCCTGTGCCACCCTCCACGCACTATACACTACACATAGTGTACTAGCACGGCGCATCCCGCGCCGTGCCCCCAATGTCAATACTCGAGCTTCCTTGTGCTCAATCTTGTCACGGTCCTACGTCCCTTGCGAGCGTTCGCGTGAAGCAGTGGTTTGATCCTTTACAGTCCTAAATGAGCCAGCCACCCTCTGGCTCTGAGCCTCCGCGCTCAAACGTGGTACCTTACGGTGAGGTGCACTCCACCCCCGAGGTCATGGCGGACATCTCCGCCACGCCCAGCAGCGAAAAAATGACCAATCTGATCACCGACTCTTCCTGCTCACCGTCATCCTCGCCGTCGCTGTTTCTGGACCAACACCAGTGCCAGTCCCCGCAGAGCCGCTTCCAGACATGATCTCCATCAACGGCGCCTGCCATTTTGCGCTCACCAGCTCCTACGGCGCGCGTCGGTGGTGCCGTCCGTGATGGTGTAGTACTGCCTCTCCACCGTCTGACCCCCCTCCATGCTGTGCGACGAAACCGAAGAGGAAATTCCTGGGGTCAGTTTTGCTGCGCTGATTTCCAACCCGCTAAAACCTAAATCATCACGGCCCCGTAACACCCTCCGCGGACCGCGCGCGGTCAAAGGCTTAAACGGTGGCTCGGGCGCCTATTTCGGACTCGGGCCCGGTGCTTCGACGCAGTACAGCGTACTTTGTGGTAGTATGAACTCAGAACGCCCCCCCGAGAGCACCTCTTCGACGCCCACGGGTCCCGAGGCCCCGAGGGGTCGGAGGGGTTGCGAGAGGGCCCCGGCTATTTTTTGTTTGAATCCCGGAGGCCGTTCGAACATGAATTCCCACGTGTTCGTCCACAGCTACGGACAACATGCTAGCCCAGCAGGCCGCTCCCACCGCCGCCGGCGGCGGAGGCAAGGCGGCAAAGGGTGGCATGCTCCTGCCTTGCAAACGTGGCATTGAGGGCGTGTTGCTGCTGCATCAACCGTTCGAGGCCACCGGCGTCATCTGCCTGACAGCACCCCGACAGCACCACCTGACAGCACCTGACAGCACCGGGCCTACGTCTGACACTGGTATGACAGCAGCAGCAGCCTGGCAGGAGCAGGCGGACATCGCTTCCAGGGAGGGGGGCGTGCTTCTGCTCACGCTCCACCCCCCCCCCAGCATGTGGTGAAGGCGCTGGGGGGGTCGGGACCCCCCCCCTAGCATGTGGTGAAGCCTCGTGGGGGGGGTCGGACCCCCCCCCCCTAGCATGTGGTGGGCACCCCCCAGCAGTTCGTGGGCTAGGAATAGCCGCCAGAGAGCCGATTTTGCCCCCAAAGTTGTGAAATCGTGGCTGAAAGTCCAATATCTTGGAGAATCTGACCAGTCTCAAGGCTCATGTAGCTCCAAAGGATGATTTCCCCCTCGAAAATGCTGCGAAATGAGGCGTAAAATCAAGGGCCCGGAGGGTCTGACCACGAGTCTCTGGGGGGGTCCTCGGCCACGACCCCCCCCCTAGCATGTGGTGAAGGTGCTGGGGGGGGCGGGACCCCCCCCCCTAGCATGTGGTGAAGCCTCTGGGGGGGGTCGGACCCCCCCCCTAGCATGTGGTGTGAGCAGAAGCACGCCCCCCTCCCTGGAAGCGATGTCCGCCTGCTCCAGCTCTGACAGCTCCGACAGCGCCTGACAGCAACACGCGACAGCTCCGACAGCACCCGACAGCTACAGATCACCTCTGATGTCAGACACACACCCAACACTCTGGGCTGGATTGTCGCGCGGCGGCTATATAAGGAATCAATCAAAAACAGTAACCGGACGTCGCACACAACAAAAAACCTGCTGCTCCACGAGACGTTCGGCGGCGGCTTCTCGCCCACCGCCGTTCTCAAGCTGCGCCGCCTCGCGCGCAAAGTCGCGCGCGGCAGCGTTGACCGCACAGCCTACTCGCCCAAGTACTCGCTCTCTTTTATGTCCCACCATGCAGAGCGCATCTCTCTCTCTGTTGTGCGAGGCGTGAACCGCGCCATTCGCTCTCACCTGGCAACCCTGTCTGCACGTCTCGCGCGCGCGTGAACAGGGCTCCAGGCCCCAAATGACGTGTGAGTGTTAGAGTTGTTTGGTATTGCTAAAAATCTCTCTCTCTCACACGCAAACGATGCTCACGACCACGCGATCTGACGAGGTCCGACGCCACAATCAAGAGTGATGACAAAACGGGCGGCGCGTCGAGGCGGCCGAGCGGTCCCTCGCTCGCACGCAGAGGCCAGAGGGCGCGCACGCGTCGACCGCCGCGAGCAAAAAAGAAAAATCGCCCTTGGGTGCGCTTCTGAGCTCCCCGGCCCTGGATGTGAGGCTGCCGACTGCACTCCAAGTGCTCCAAGTGCTTGCAGTCGCCCGCGCACCTTTCCGAGGTTATTCCCAGTTGCAGTCTAAGCAGTCTATGAAGTCTTCAGACTGGGACGGACTGCCTAGACTGTGAATAGGAATCCTAGTCGGCGTCTAGCGCGCGCGATAAAGGTTTTTGCTCGCCTTCCCTGGGACCCCGTGTTGCGTGACGGTCTCTGTGCGATTTCGGGCCCGGGGTTGTGCGTTTATTTTAAGTATTTTCTTCTCAATAACAAGGCTGTGAATTCACTGTGCTAGGTGAGTCATGGAATAACCTTTCCGGGACACCATGAGCCAGGTCCCTTGTGCCCTTTGACCCAGCCTTTACCGGTCGCATGGACGAGCGGGCCCTGTGACTTGTGGCCGCGCTTTCACAGCCTTGTTATTGAGAAGAAAATACGTCCTATGGCCCCCCCGGCGCTGTGCGCTGTTCACACACACACACCCCAGAGGTGAGTGCCTCTCTGAGTGGGGACAACCTTTCCGCGACACCACCGAACACACATGAGCAGCATCCTCCTGCTCTGCGCGCTCCTCTCCAGCGCCGCCGCCCTAAACATCGGTCTCGGCCTCCCCTCCCCCAGCCCCGCGGCGCCGCCACCACTGCGCCTCGCCGACGCCTTTCGAGCCCCGTTCGCAGGCGGGCCGGCGCCGCCGCGCCCGTCCATCGGGGCGATGCGCGACGCTGCTGTGCGCGGAGCCATGGCGTCGTCGCTCGCGCTCGCGCTGAGCACGGCGAACCCAGCCTTCACCGCGGCGGACGTGCCGGCGCCGAGCGCCGCTGTCGAGCGCGCCGGCTTCTCGCTTGTCGCCGACTCGGACCAGGAGAAGTTTCTCGCCGAGCGCGCCAAGATGAAGACGCAGGCGAGCTCCGCCGCGCCGTCGCCCGTCGCCGCTGGTCGTCCGGGCGATCGCTCGTTACACCCGCGCGCGCACGCAACGACAGCTCGGACGCGACAGACACCGCTCACACACACACAAGACACAAGCGGCTGCCGGCCTCCGCGAAAACCTCGTCGCTCCGCTGAGGCGCCGCCGCCTCCCCCGTTCGCAGTACGAGCAGGACCTGGAGGGCACCTACATGACCGCCGAGCAGACGACCGCCAAGAAGGCCACCTACACGCAGGCTCTCGCGTCCCGCGCCCTAGCCCGTGCTCCGCGCCTCTAGAGCCCGACAGCTCTCCCTCCGCCAACCACCCTCAGGTGGTCTATGGCCTCATTGCGATCGCCTTTGTGGCGCGCGCGCCCGTCGCCGCCCTCCCCCCCCCCCTCCCACCCTCCCACATCCACCCACGGCGCGCGCGGTCTCGCCCTTCCCCGCGCAGGCACCGATGATTCAATTCTTCTACTACACCGGTGGCAAGTGAGGCGGTCGCCTCCTCTCCGCCGCCGCCCGTCTGTGTTGATCTCGTGCACTTCCCCTAGCGTTGGAAGTGCTGCATGCTGTTGCTAAACGCCCGCCCTCGTGGGTGCGGTGAGAGCCGCGAGGTGTAGCCCGCGGGCCGCCGGATTTTGTATGTGTCGCGTCTCTCGTGAGGAGTGCTGTGCAGGCGCACACATGCCATACTTTAGATCTGAGCCTCGGTGATCGAGGTCGCGCATAGACGATGTCATCATGAGGACTGCCCCGCCGCGCCCCGCGCGCGCGTCTGGCGCGTCCCGGCTGCGTGTGCCGCTGAGCGCTCTTTGACCCGCTCGTCGCTCGTGTGTGTGCGCATACGATCGCTGCGCGGCCCTCCCAGCTGGCGTTCCCCGGCGAGCCGCGTGCGCACGCCTTTCCGCATTGATCTTTCATAAAGCCGCTGGAAAACCCCTATACGCAAAAAAGAATAAATGCGCCGCGGCCGGCGCGCGTCACCGTACACCGAGCTCGACAGAAAAAATCTCGTGGAGCTCGAGTGCTGAAGTATTGAATATTGCTGGTCTATGAGAGGTTGAAAGAAAGAAAGAAAGAAAACATACACGCCAAGGGAGGGATGGGAGGACGGCACGCCGCCACCACACAGGGATTTTAAGTACAGGAGTGTGGTGCTAGCCGTCGCCCACCCTAACCCTTGGTCGTCTGCCTCTTTCTATCTCCCTTCGCAGTCCCTCGCCGATTCTCGCTGCAACCTTCATGCCACCTCGCGGTCGTCCCACTCTCGTCGTTCTCCCTCCTGTCGCTTCCTCCTCTGTCGCGTCGTTCTCGTCTGCCTCGTCCTGCGACGCCGCCGCCGCCTGCCGATCCCTTGCTCTCGCGGCTTCTCTCTTCTTTCGTCGCAGCTCTGCTCTCCTCGCGGCATGTTTTGGCCCCTCGAGTTTATCTAGCTCTCCTCGCGCAAGGACGACTCTTCTGTTCAGCTTTACGCTCATTTCGTTCAGCGTGGCTCACCCTCCATGCCGTGAACAGGCGCTTTATCCATCCTATATTCTTCTCTCTCTCCTCTGCCCGTGCCTTGGTCTTGTCGTTGTTTCGCACCCATGTCTGTATGGCGATCGAGGCTGCCTTCCCCACTACCTGTAGTTCACTCGTCACCTCTCCTGCGAGCTCCCCTCTCTTTCTTTCTTGGTATGGAGTCCGTGAGTGCGGGCAGTGTGCAGGCAATCACGGGCGCTATTTTGTCGTACTCATCTTCGGCGCGCGCTCCGAAACTAGAGCCCATTGCCTTTAAGGAGGCTGCCCTCGCGTGTCTCAGGAATGCGGCTGTGTCTTTTGAGTCAGACGCCGCCCGTTCGACTCTTGCTGTCGCCCTCGCCGCGTGTTTGTCAAGCTTCCGCATGAAGTAACGCGCCTCTTCCTTATTTCCAGCGCAGCTGCCGCTCAGTATGTGCGCCAACGACGCCTGTGGTGGCTCACTGTCTTCTTGTGTCCAGTCGTCCCAGTCTCTCCGTTCTCCGATTCTCCTCCTTGCCTCGCGCGCCTCTTTTGTGGCCTCATCCCTAGCCGCTTTGCACGCTCTGCATCCCCAGAACGCACTTCTCGTGGCGGGGCCCCTCATTCCTCGTTTCTTTCCCCCCTCTAGAATACGCCTGTGGTGTGCCCCGTGTGGCACCCCGACCTGTTGTCTCACCCTGGCCCCCAAGATCGTTTTGGTCGTCACATGGTGATCCCCGAGTCGTCAAATGTCGCCCGCCTATATCCTTCCCCCCGTTCTCGTCTGGTAATCTCATCTTATTGTCCCAGCGGTGTTCTCTTTTCTTTTGAGCTCTGTGAGCTCTCCACCAATAAATAGGAAAAGTTGTGGCGTTGTTGATTATGTCGAGAGCCGAGAGGCTGGCTACAGCCACTTCGCTCCACAATCGTCCCGCCACCCCTGCCGTGTGCGATCCCGGCCTCACCGTCTTTCGATATTGCTCGCACACCCACTCGTGCGAACAAACAGTTGTTTGGTATTGCTAAAAATCTCTCTCTCGTGCGCGCTCTTACACATGTGTCCGTACGTCCGTCGGTCCACTATCTCCCTCTTCTCTGAGTTCTCTGCCGCCTCCCTTCGCACCGTGTACATGCATGGCCGCGTTCGCACCGCGTCCCGCACCGCTTTCGAGGCGTCCTCCGTGTCGTTATTTCCGACCGAGGTATGCTGTCGCTACTGCGTCGGCGTATGCGTTGCAGGCTCTAGTTAGTGCAGGCTATTCCCACATGCGATGGCGCCCACACAAAGACCACCGCCTCTAGCTTCGATCTATAGTACGCAATCGCCTCTCTCTCTCCCAGTATGAGAGGTTGAGTGCGAGACAGAGAGAGAGAGATTTTTAGCGCCAGGACGCCCTCTCGCTGGCCCCAGCGTGTGCCCAGACGCGCACACCCGCGCGCACCACCTCACACGGCTCGTGTGTCTCTTGCAGGGGCGCCTTCAAGTCCAAGCACGACCATGAGGAGGTCAACACGAGCTATCTGGCGACAATGGAGATTGACGCCGATGGGCTGAATCTGATCAAGGCTGTGGCCGCCGAGGCTGCCCGCGAATCGGTGCCTGTGGCTGCTGAGGTCCCTGATGCCGAGGACAACGCGCCGCCTCCAGCTCCAGTGGGGGATGGCGAGGCCGACGAGCGGAGCGCGGCGGCGAGCACCCCCGAGGATCTCGCCGCCTTGCTGATGCAGGTTGGGCTGAGCACCCGGAAGAAGAGCCCGTATCTTCAGGGCCTGATCGATGCGGTCCGCTCAAAGGCCGACGCTGCAGTGTCCAAGGATGGCAGCCTCAAGCCCTCGACCGAGGCAGCAGACGACATCCGGATAATGCGCTTCTTGGGCGCAAACAAGTGGGACGCCGCCGCCGCCGCCGAGGAGTACGTCAGCTCGCTAAAGAGCCGCAAGGCGAAGGGACTCGACGCCCTCCGCGACGAGATCGTCGCCAAAAATCCCGGCTTCTTCGGCGGCAAGGAGGAGCTCGACTGCATCTACGTGCACGGGACGAGCAAAGCTCTGCAGGAGGTCAACCCCCGCACCTTCACCGACGTGCGCACCGAGGGCCCGTACCGGCTGCTGCGAGACAAGCGAGGCAACCTCGTCGTGATTGAGTGCGTGGGCGTGGTCGACTATGCCGCCATCGCCGCTGTCGGCTTCGAGCCGTGGACGAAGGAGTTCTTCACCTTCAACGAGCTGCGCGTGCTGATGCTCGACGAGCTCTCGCGGCGATGCGGGAAGCTGCTGCTAACAAACACCGTCATGGACATGTCGCACATCAACATGATGCCCAATCCCTTCGCGCCAAAGGTCGAGAAGGACGGGAAGGCCGCCGCCAAGGCGTCGTCGGAGGTGACCAAGGAGGTGTACCCGACGACAACCTTCCGAAACTACATGGTCAACCTCTCCGAGTCGACCGCCAAGGCGGCGGGGCCGCTGATAAAGGCGCTGGTGCCCAAGCGCTCGGCGGATAAGCTCAAGATATTTGGCCCCGACTTCCAGTCGGCGCTCCACGAAGACGTTGACTGCGCAAACCTGCCTCAGCGGTATGGAGGGGAGCTCCCGGACGGCATCCAGTTCAAACTGATCGACGCCAAGGGAAAGAAGAAGTGAGCGCGTCGCGCCGAGCGTGCGTGGACCAGTCACCCCCCTCAGTCCTCTGAAATGTGATCCCATTCGGCTCGATGGGCGCCTCGGGAACCCGGACGGCAGAGCCGGCAGCTTTTTGGAGCTATCCTCTCTGCGAGAGAGTGTCCGATGCGCTGGACGGACACACGCTAGTCTGTGGGGGCGGGGAAGAGGGCTCGAGCGGACCCCCGGGGTTGGCGGTCCGACGGCAGAGGTAGGCGTCGGGCGGCCTGTGTGTGTGCCGCGAGGGGGCGACGGAGATTTCCGAGATATCCACACACCTAGAGACGACCACCGCGTCGGCACGTCGGCGCAGCCACGTGCGACGTGGCGCTCTTTGTCACTCTGTGATCTGCCTCCGAGGGGTCTCGCTGTTGATTTCATACGGATAAAAACAGTACAGCCACGCCTCCTGGCCACTGTGGCGCTGCGTGCGTATACACTGTGGCGCAGTGGTGGCGGAGCGGTGTGGCGCGGCGCTCCACCGCGGCTCGGCGCGATCTGGCTCTCTACCGATGGCAATCTGACTGTGGGAACGTGGCGCGCCCGGCGCGTGCGCCCCTCACCCGGCCTTCTTCTCCTTGTCCTCCTTGAGCGGGACGATGCGATTGAAGACGGGCGCCTCCGCCGTGGAGTCCGTGTCGACGCAGAAGAAGCCGAGCCGCTGGAACTGGAAGGCCGGCCGGTCGGCGCTGCGCGCGGGAGGGCCCGCCGCCTGCGCGAGGTCCCTCTCGACCACCGCCTCGTGCTCCACGCAGGAGTCCGGGTTGAGCAGCTTGAGCCACGAGGGCGCGCCTACGGGACACATGCCGCGTCGTGGGCCGCGTCGTGGACGCTGCACGGCGCCATCGGCCCGCGAGTAGCTCGCGCTTTCAGGCGAGGCCGCCTCCGCCTCGTCCGCCTCGTCGCCCTCGCCCTCCTCGTCGCCCCCGCCGCCCCCGCCCTTGAGCTTGGCAGCCTCGCCCTCGGGGTCCTCGGGCGTGAAGAGGACACCGTAGACGCGCACCTTGGCGCGCACCCCCTCGGCCGCAGACACCCAGTGCAGGTGGCCCTTGGTCTTGTTGCGCTCGGCGGACCCGTCCGCCTGGGAGGCGCGGCATATGGAGACGCGTCAGAGTCGTGCCGGAGTCTCGCTCCCCGCCAACGGGCCGCGCCCACCGAGCAGACGAGCGCGGTCACGCCGCCGTCGCCGCCCCTCACCACCTCGTCGCAGCGGATGGTCACGCCGGCGCCGAGCAAGCCAACCTCCTTCCCGGGCGCGAGGCCGAAGAAGCTCGGCGCGTCCACCTGCGAAGGCGCGGTCGCGTCGGCGCGCCCCACCCCGACGCGTGTGCGCTGCCGCCACGATACCGCGGCTGGGCGCTGGGCGCAGCGCGGGGTCCGGGGAAGCGCGACGGAGGCTCGCGCCTCGCGAAAGTCGTCGCGGTCGATGTAGATGGTCTCGGGCAGCACGAGCCGCCGGGCGCCCATCTCTGCGTTCCGCGGGTGGTTCGGCGACTCGAACGGCTTCCCGCCCGCCGCGAGACCGCGCAGCTCCACCTGCGAGGGGGGAGGCGCTGAGCGGCGGGCGCCGAAGCTCCCGCGCCGGCGGAGCGCGCGCGGAGGGGCTGCGCCTTGAGCGGCCTCAGCACGGCGGAGCGGCGCGGCGCGGAGGCGTCCAGCGCTGTGCGCGCGACATGCTCGACGACCTGCCACCGCGCAGTCATGGCGGCCTTCGTGACGCCGACCTGTCCACGGCTGGACGCGTGAGGGAGACGCCGTTCGCACTCCCAGCGGCCGGCCTCTGCGACGCCATCCTCGTCGCAGAAGCGGTTGAGCATCGCTGCGGAGAAGCCGCGCCGGCGGAGCCCCTCGATGGTTGGCAGCCGCGGGTCGTCCCAGCCGCAGACGAAGCCGCCCTCGACGAGGAACTTGAGCTTGCGCTTCGACATGAGCGTGTGCGTGATGTTGAGGCGCGAGTACTCCCACGTCACGGGCTTGTACAGCCGCAGGGCGTGCAGCAGCCAGTAGTACGGCCCGTCGACCGCCTGGCGCTGCCCGAACTCGAGGGTGCAGAGCGAGTGCGAGATGTCCTCGAGCGAGTCGACGATGCAGTGGGTGTAGTCGTAGGTCGGGTAGACGCACCTGCGCGCGGCGAGCGGAGACGCGGGGAGAGGGCGAGAGGGGGGAGGGGGAGTCGGAAAGAGAGTGCGGGCGCGTGGTCTGTGGTCCCGGGTGGAACGAAGACGCTCCTCTCTAGGCCTCTCTAGGCCTCTCTCGGCCTCTCTAGCCCCCTCTCGCACCACTCGTCGCCGGTGCGCGGGTGTGAGTGGAAGAGGACGCGGTACGCCGCCGGGTCCCAGAGTGACGAGTTGTCCGACAGCAAGTCGCCTGCTCGTGTCCAGGACGTGTCTAGGACATGTCCAGGAAGAGCCAGGAGTTGTCCGACAGCAATTGTCGCCTGCTCACAGCGCGGCCGGTGAGGAGACGCCACGCCACGCCGCGGGCGGTGGGGAAGGCAGCGGCGCCTACTCAGCACCACAAGCGACGGGGAGCGTAACGACCCTCGCCTCGCGCCTCAGAGGCAGCCGCGCGAGAGGGGCGCCCTTCATCCGGAGCACGGCCTCGCCCTCGCCGAACCTGCCCGTCCGCATCCTCTCGAAGAGGAGCAGGTTCTCCTGCACCGCGAGACGAGCCGAGGTGAGCCCAAATCAGCCGAGCCGCTCCCCCCTACCCCCCTCGAGAAGGCGCAGGCTCTCCTCCACACTCCGGCCGCGGAACGGCGAGCTCGCGGCCGGCGGCAGCGGCGGCGGCGGCTTGCCGGCCGCCTTGGCCTCGAGCTTGACCTTGCCGGGCGAGGGGAGGGGATGCGTGGAGGGCAAACGGGGGGGGGGGGGGGGGAGCAGGGGGGAGAGGGAGGGAGAGGGGGCGAGCGACCTTGCCGTGGTAGTTGCGCAGCGCCATCCGCGACGCCTTGATCTCTTCGGCGGTCTGGTGGCAGACGTAGGCGCCGTCGGAGCGGATCAGCTGCAGCGCCAGGTCGTAGAGCTGCGGGAAGTAGTCCGAGCTGTACGTGACCGCGACGGGCGTGTGGCCGAGCCACGCCACCGAGTCGAGGATCGAGTCAATGTACTCTTGCTTCTCCGCCGCCGGGTTGGTGTCGTCAAACCGCATCACCGTCGCGCCTGAGCCTCCCGCCTCCCGCGCCAGCCGCGCCTGCGCCGGGGACGGTGCCGGGTGGCGGCCGCGGCGGCCGTGGCGGCCGTGCCGGTGCTGCGGTGCTGCGGTGTGTCGGTGCTGCGGTGCTGCGCGCCTGCCCAAAGTTGAAGTTCATCGCCTTGGCGTGGCCGATGTGCAGGTACCCGTTGGGCTCGGGTGGGAAGCGCGTGCGGATCCCACCGCCCGTTCGCTTGAGGTAGGCCGCGTGATCCTCCGCCGCGTTGAGCGCGTAGTTGTGCGCCGCGTCTATGTCTGGCCGGAGCGGCTTTGCCTGGATGTTTTCCACCGGGGGCTTGAGCACTAGCTTCTGCTCCACGCCACCGTCGGCCGGCTTCGGCTCCTTGTCGGCCACGGCCTCCTTCTCGGCGGGAGGAGGCTTCTCCTTCTTCGGTTTCGCCGTTGCCTGGACGGTTGAGGCGTCGCACGCAGCCTTGGCGGCGACAAACCGCTCGGTCGCCGCCACAAAGTCCTTCGCCTCGAACGCCTTTTCGCCCTCCTCGATGAGGCGCAGGCCCTCCGGGTCGGGACGCTTCCGGGACGCCTTGACGGCGTCCGTCTTCGCAGTCTTTGCGCCGGACTTGCTCATCGAGCAGCGATCGGCTGCTGCAGCCCAGGCTCGCTGCGTCGAGGCCCTGGCTGGGTTCGCGGCGCAGTTCCAGGTAGGGAGCCAACGGAGCAGTGCCTCCCTGGGCCTGGGTGTGCGGCTGGAGGTCTCGCTCTCGGGGTGGTGGTGAAGAACAAAACATGTTGCACCAATAACATAGTTCTACGAATATATACGATCACTGGATCTATAAACACCGGCGATGCGGACGCACCGGAAGCCCAGCTGCGGAAGCCGCGGGCCGACGACGGCGCCCAAGTCCGCAAGTCCGCACCTTGACCCTTTTGGCCCGCCGCACAAGCTCGACGCGGCGCGAGTCTGCAGCTCGTGCGCAGGGCCAGGCGGCGCCTGCGCAGCGCCACCAGAGCAGCACTCCCCTCCCCTCCCCTCCCCTCCCGCCGCGCACCCGATCAGCCCATCATCCTGATGCTGACCCGCAACCCCAACCCGCCACGGGGAGACGCGCCCCTCACCCCTACCCCCTTCCCGCCAGCGCGGGGCGGGCCTCAGTACACCGACTGCATGCCACGCACCGCGAGCTCCGTCACCTGCGAGCGCGACACGGCCCAGGGTGGGCGTGTGATACGGGGCTGCGTGACGGGCATCTCTTCTCGGTGTCAGCCGGCCGCCGCCCGCCTGCCACTTGTCCGGCGGCGGCTCCTTTGACTTCTCCCGCCCCTCCTCGCCGCCCGCCTCGCCGCCCGCCTCGCCGCCGTCCGCAGGCGCCTACTCACAGCGTGGCCACCCTCCCGCACAGCGCCTCGGCAGCGTGATCCGCCGCCTGGCAGCGGCGGTCTCCTCCCCCGCCGCTTCCGGCTCCGGCTCCGCCCAGTCCTCTGTCGGCTGGAGAGCGAAGAGGTAGTGCACCGCGCGGATGTCGTCCTCGTCCCCCTCGACGATCTGCTTCGTGCTCTTGGACCGGACGCAGTTGAGCTGGTGCGCCTGCGCCAGAGGGGGAGGCGGAGGGGCTCGCGGGAGGCGCCTCTCGAGGGGCGGGGGGGAAGGGCTCGGGCCACGCTCTCCCCGACGGCAGGCGGGTGTGCGCGAGCGAAGCCGGGCGGCGGGCCGTGGCGTGCTGGCGTGCTGCTGGCGTGCTGCCGGCGTGCTGCCGGCGTGCTGCTGGCGTGCTGCTGGCGTGCCGGCGGCACCTCGAAGGAGACGACGGGCGTGGGCATGCCTCCGATGTAGCGGACGGACTCGATCTCCGGGTCGGAGAGGAAGAGGAGCCGCTCGTCCATCTGGAGCTGGTGCGCCTCCCGCTCCATCACCGACTTGTGCAGCGCGCCGTACGCGGCGTCGCGGCAGCAGCGGCGCAGCGCCTCCATGTCGCCGCGCAGGTAGGCGCCGAGCACGTCGCGCTGCTTCTGGGCAACCTCCTCGGTGAGGAACTTGTCCATGTCGAAGTCGGGCATCAGCTCGCGCAGCTCGCGCAGCGCCTCCGCCTGCTCCGTCTCCCCAAAGATCCGGTCGCCGACGCTGCCCGCCGCGTCGCCAAACCAGCCAAACCCAGACCCAGACCCAAAGTTGGTCGCCTTCTCCCAAAAGGTTGGCTCGCGCACGACCACGGCGCCCGAGTCGGCGGGCGGCGCGTCGGCGGCGGCGCCCGCCGCGCCCGCCGCGCCGCCGCCCCCGAACGCCCCCCCCAGCCGCTCGCGCGCCGCCGAAAAGGCAGCGCTGACATCAGCGACGAGCCGCTCGTGCAGCGGCGGCGGCAGAGGCTCGCCGGGCGCGCCGTCGGACTTGGCGCCGGGCTGCTCGCCGCCCGCCGCGCCGCCCGCCGCGCTGCCGCTCGCCTCCTCCTGGCTCGCGCGCTGGAAGCCCGCCTCAGCCGCCGACGCCTCCGCCTTGGCCTTGGCCTCCGCCGCAAGCTTCGCGGCCTGCTCGGCCGCCTCCGACGCCTTGGCGCCGGCCTGCTCGGCCGCGGAGGAGGCGGAACTGCCCGCCTGCTCCGCCGCCCGCTGGAAGCCCGCCGTCGCGGCCGTCGCCGCCTCGCGTGCCTTCTTCAGCGTCTCGTCCTCGCGCAGCCCCTTGAGCGCCTCCTGCAGATCCTTGTTCTTCTCGACCTCCTTCTTCAGGTTCTCCTTGAGGTTGCCGAAGAAGCCGCCGCCGTTCTGCCGCGCAGCCGCCCAGACCGGGCCGCCGCCGAGCCGCTGAGGCAGACGTCTCATGGTACGCATCCGAGCCTTCCTCACGGTATTGAAGAAATCGACCGCGGCATGTGTGAGCATAATGCAGGTGGGGACCCTGTCCTCCTCCCCCATCCCTCGTCTGGGTTTGTCTGTTTTCTTTCTTTCTTTCAGCAGTTTTATGCTTTCACTATTTTATTCTTTAGATGGTTTGTTCCTGGTTTGTTCGCTCATGGCCGGAGTCGAGGAGTGCATGCAGCGAAAGAAAACTGTTCCCCCTCCTCGTCTCTTTCCCACCTAGGCGGGGCGCAGGTACCAGTGGTAATCCCGTCGTCAGCTGTAACGATGCACCCGAAGGGGACCCCAGCGCAAACATCATCGGTGGAGGTACAAGTGTTCGAAGAGAGAGTGGACGTGTGGACCTGAGCAACGATATGACTTGGCGGCAAATGATCGCAGTGGGCGTCATAAGAGTCGTCCTTGCGCGAGGAGAGCTCGATAAACTCGAGGGGCCAAAATATGCCGCCAGGAGGGCGGAGTTGCGCCGAAAGGCGGGAGAACGGAGAAGCCGCGAGAGCAAGGGATCGGCAGGCGGCGGTGGCGTCGCAGGATGAGGCAGAGACGAGAGCGACGCGGACAGAGGAGGAAGCGACAGGAGGGAGAACGACGAGAGTGGGACGACCGCGAGGTGGCATGAAGGTTGCAGCGAGAATCGGCGAGGGACTGCGAAGGGAGACAGAAAGAGGCAGACGACCAAGGGTTAGGGTGGGCGACGGCTAGCACCACACTCCTCTCCTTAAAATCCCTGTGTGGTGGCGGCGTGCCGTCCTCCCATCCCTCCCTTGGGTTGTCTGTTTTCTTTCTTTCTTTCTTTGTCGCAGGCACACTGGGCCTCGAGCAAGGGACGGCCCGGGCGGAGATCGCCGCTTCCCAGCCGCCCCCCAGAGCGCTTCCGGCGTGAGGAGCGCACACGCCGGCTTCTTTCTGGTATGCGACGCCTTCGTCGAGTCACCACTACGACAAAAACTCTCTCTCCCACTACGCACTAGCCTCTTGCGCCGCACGAAAGAGAAAGAAAACAGACAACCCAAGGGAGGGATGGGAGGACGGCACGCCGCCACCACACAGGGATTTTAAGGAGAGAAGTGCGGTGCTAGCCGTCGCCCACCCTCTTGGGCGTCTACATGTACCTCTTCCTATCTCTGTTCGCAGTTTCTCGCCAATTCTCGCAGCGACCTTCATGCCACCTCGCGTTCTTCCCACTCTCGTCCTCGTTCTCTCTCCTGCTGTTTCATCCTCTGTCGCGTCGGCCGTCGCTCTCCTCTGCCTCGTTCTGAGACGCCGCTGCCGTCTGCGCGCGAGAGATCTTTAGTCTGCCCTCTGCCGATCCCTTGCTCTCGCTGCTTCTCGCCTCTCTGCGTAACTCCGCCCTCCTCGCGGCGTATTTTGGCCCCTCGAGTTTATCGAGCTCTCCTCGCGCAAGGGGGCAAGGACGACTCTTCTGACGCCCACTCCGATCATTTGCCGCCAAGTCATATCATTGCTCAGGTCCACTCTCGTTTCGAGCACTTGTACCTCAACGGTCGGTGTTGGCCCTGGGGTTCCCTTCGGGTGCAGAAAGAAAGAAAGAAAACAGACAACCCAAGGGAGGGATGGGGACGGCACGCCGCCACCACACAGGGATTTTAAGGAGAGGAGTGTGGTGCTAGCCGTCGCCCACCCTAAACCCTTGGTCGTCTGCCTCTTTCTATCTCCCTCCGCAGTCCCTCGCCGATTCTCGCTCCAACCTTCATGCCACCTCTCGCGGTCGTCCCACTCTCGTCGTTCTCCCTCCTGTCGCTTCCTCCTCTGTCGCGTCGCCCTTCGGGTGCAAATAAATAAATAGAGCAGTCATCTCCAGGGAGAGATGGGCGACGCACACACGAACACAGAGGGACGGTGCGCACCCCGCCCCGCTCGCAGGGCGTGCATCACACAGGTGGACTGTGTGACTCCTCGGGTTTCTGGGACTCAGAGGTGTGCTAGTCGGGTGCATAAAAAAACACACACAACCGAAGGGAGGGATGGGAGGACGGCACGCCGCCACCACGCAGGGATTTTAAAGTCGGGTGAATCGTGACAACGCGGCCAAATTCTTCTTCTCCGGTGTGCCATCTTCGGACTCTCCACACGCACTGCGAGCTCTCCACACGCCCTCTGAAATTCACACCAAACACATCGGTCGCCATGACCGCCCTCCTCGGCAGCCTCGCCGTTCTAGCCTTCACTCAGCCGCCGATCGGCAGCCTCGCCGATCGCCGATCGCTGCTTCGCGCCGGCTCTGCCACCGCGCTCGGCTCCTGGCTGCCGCAGTTCATGCAGCCGCCCGGTGCTGCGAGCGCTGCGCGCCGCCTGCCAAAGGCAGCCAAAGGCGCGACCAATGAGGTTGTGAGGACGGTCAATGGCATTCGCCACAAGCGCATGGGCGGCGGAGACCTCGTCGTCTCCGAGATGGGGCTGGGCACGCAGCGCTGGTGCACATCGCCCTCCCGCACGCTGCCACGCCCAGCGCCCGCTCGCGATGCCTCACCGACCCGCGGTCACGACTTGCCTTCGCAGGGGCAGCGGCGACTTCAACGCGCCGGACGAGGCGACCTGCCTCTCGTTCCTCGACCGCGCCATTTTGGAGGGTGGCATCAACCTCATCGACACGGCGGAGCAGTACCCGATCCCGAGCACGCGGGCCAAGCCCGAGGGCGACACCGAGCGCATCATCGGCAGGTGGCTCGCGCAGGACAAAGCGCGGCGGCAGCAGGTGGTGATTGCGTCCAAGATCACGGGCGGGCAGAACGTCAACGCCAAGAACATCATCGCCGACTGCGAGGGGTCGCTCCGGCGGCTCGGCACCGACTACCTCGACATCTACAACCTGCACTGGCCCGCGCGCTACTCTCCGCAGTCCAACTGGGGGCAGAGCCTCGAGTACAAGCAGGAGGTCGAGCTCTACTCGGGCGGGCGGGCAGACTTTGGCGAGATCGCAGAGGCGATGGGCGCGCTGGTGAAGCAGGGCAAGATCCGCGGGTGGGGCATGTGCAACGACAACGCGTACGGCCTCGCCGCCAGCTGCTACGCGGCTCGGGCGCTCGGCGTGCCGCCGCCTGTCAACATGCAGAATGACTACTCGCTAATTAACAGGAGGATCGATGAAAACGGCCTCGCCGAGGCGTCGAGTCCCGTCCACGAGAACGTGGGCTTCATGGCGTACAATGTGCTGGCCGGCGGCGTGCTGACTGGCAAGTACCTCGAGCGCGCCGCGGCGGTGGACGACCCTGACCAGGCGTCGGCGAGGAGGTCGCTCGAGGCGCCGCGTGGCCGCATGGACGAGCGCGGGTGGGGCTATACCTTGTACCGGTACCGCAGCGGGCCGGCGGCGGAGGCGACCCGAGCCTACAGCGCGCTGGCCAAGACGTACGGCATGTCGCTCACCGAGCTGGCCTGCCGGTGGACCAAGGAGCGGAGTAGCGTCACCACAGCACTGCTCGGCCACACGTCCCTCGCGCAGCTCGACGAGACGCTCAGGTACTACAGCAAGAAGGAGCCGCTGCCACCCTCGCTGCTGTGGGAAATCGACCGGGTTCACATGCGCAACCGATTGCCGATCTTCTCTTCCACGCGCGTGGGCAAGGACTGGGACGGGGAGGGGGAGATAGGGGAGCCTTTGCCATGAGCGCCGCTGCGGCAGGCCGGCATGCAGCGCGGCGGACGGTAAGGTAAACGATTAGTTTAGTGAACCGGGCGAGAATTTCTATTTCACTCTGCCCCCCTGGTCGAACCTGTCTAGCTGCCTCTGAGCTCTGTCCGGACGCACGTCGCGCACGTGTCGAGTCACGCTCGCGGACCGGTCGCCCGCTCCTCTCCCGGGTGCCCGGGGCGCGGCGCGCGGGGGGCGGGGGTCTCCGCGTGACCACTCGCCCGGCACCACGCCGCGCGCGTGATAGACGAATTCGTGGAGCGCGCGCACTCTTCTTTCCACTTTCGCCAGCTCTCTCTCTCTCTCTCTCTCTCTCTCTCTCTCTCTCTCTCTCTCTCTCTCTCTCTCTCTCTCTCTCTCTCTCTCGTCCAAGGTCAGGCAGGGTCTGAGTGTCTTGCGTGTCTTGTTTGTTTGTGGTGGTTCTGTGTGTCGCTCCTGTGTGACCGTCACCGCCCGTCTCGCGTCCACCCATACCGCGTTGGTGCCCCAGTCGTTGGTCGGACTGTGTTTTGCCTTCCTATTCTACCTATCTATCTGTGTGGACTTAACAGCCAGCCTACCTAGCCAGCCAGCCAGCCGGCGGCGCGCGGGGTGGGGTGTCGGTGTGTTGCTGTTGGTGGGGATCCATCCAAGGAGAGACAGCTCAGGCAAGAATGAAGACGTCACACAGACATCTGACATCTCGCTAGGCCTAGCGGTCTCGGGCACCGCACCCGTGCTGCCACAAACTTAGGGTACCCCTAGGCTTAAAAGGGTGGGCCCTGGGGCGCCTGCGGCTTAAACGGCTTAAAACCGGCCTAGGCCGGTTTTAAGAGCTGCTGGGCCTCCGATTCCTTAAACGGTCTTAAACGCTTAAACGGTGCGGGAGAGCTCCCGAGGTCGATGGTCCGGGAGGCTCCCGGTAGACGCCGGAGGCCGGGAAGCTGGCTACAGTCAGCTAGCACGCGCCCCCTATGCGAGTATGGCTCCTGCCAGTGCACCAGACTTACAGATGTGTCTTCAGAGGCGGGTTTGTGTGCCTAATAACGGCAGTATTGGAGAAAACGGCGCGGAACCCAGCGACGCATGCCCCTAAACGGCTGTGGTTCCCATATGGGAACTTCGCCAATTCTGTGAAAGAGAAAGCTGATGCGGCTGGTCGCAGCGACGGCCGATCCAGCAGTCGTCTGCGACATGGCAGTGGCCCCGAGTCATGTGCAGCTGGTCCCGAGCGGCTCAGGTCCCAGATCGAATCTCGGACCCACAGATTCTAGATTCCTTTAGATTCCCTGGATTCCCGCAACAGCGATCTCTTAGCGGCGGCAAACAGAGGCGCAACTCTGCCAGCAGCGAGGAGGCTCCTGCTGCTCAGCTACCGAGGCCTGGTGGCGTCGGCTGCTGCGTGGAGAAGACAGCAGCACTGTCCGACCTCAAAACATGCACAACAAGCGGGATTTGTGACTCTGTCCTCGATTCTTCAGTCGCTCTGCCGGACGCGGTCGCTTTGTCGCGAGGGTCACCAGTGCAAGCCGTGTGGACGCCCAGAATAGCCTCCCCTGGCTTAGCTAGAGTGAGAGATATTGTGCACGTGGTCAGCCTCTACAATATATACTCTGACACTTTACCTCCCAGAGCTCGTCTCGGTCCGCCACGGCCATCCTCAGCCTCCGGAGGGCCCTCGGCCGCGGCGCGGTGCGGCGGCGTCACAAATCCGACGTCAGTTCACCGGGACGCGATCGGGCGATCTGAAGTCCAACTAGGCGTATGGATTGTCCGCCCAGGGCTATCACCTGGACCCCTCAATGGACGCCTGCGGTGCCGCCCCCACGAGGTGTTGTTCACACCTGTCCAACCATTCTCGTGCAGCAGGAACGCGCTGTGTGTGGCTGGCAGCAAACTCAAATGACGACGGGTTGCAGCCTCGTAGCTCAACGGCAACATTGTGCATGAGGAAGGCTGATAGAAGTATCACCAGCCACACAACCAACAGCTTCTGGAGAGTATGCGGAGCGCAAACAGCCGGTGATCAAAGGCGTGTTGCTGTCGGTGGCAGATTGCCAGAGGGACGCCGGCGCCTCGGTGCGTGGCTTCGTCACAATTTTCCACCGCTCAACTTGGAGGCAGTGTGTCTAGTAGCGTGCTACACCTATGACGGCGGACCTCACTGGGGCGCCGACGTGCGACGACCGTCTGGGATCGAAAGACGAAACCGCGTCCCAGGAGCTCGTGCAGAGCGCGCTCCGGAGCTCGGTGGCGGGAAATTTGAAGGGAACGTGGTGGCTTCCCACCGCCTCTGTATGTGCCCAATAAAGTGCTAACACGACCCTCGGGCAGCAGGGGGTATGTGGCGAGCGCACGGAGGCACAGTTAGGCCGCCGTGATATCGCCCTTCCGGGCACCCCGTTTCGGTAGCCGTTTAGGGGTTAAACGGTCTTAAACGCTTAAACGCTGCGGGAGAGCTCCCGAGGTCGATGGTCCGGGAGGCTCCCCACAGACGCCGGAGGCCGGGAAGCTGGCTACAGTCAGCTGGCACGCGTCCCCTATGCGAGTATGGCTCCTGCCAGTGCACCAGACTTACAGATGTGTCTTCAGAGGCGGGTTTGTGCCTAATAACGGCAGTATTGGAGAAAACGGCGCCGAACGCAGCGACGCGTGCCGGTGAGGCCGATTTTCTTAAACGGTCTTAAAAGAGGGACCCCCGTGCCTGCAATCTCTTAAATGACAATTTGAGCCCCCAAACCTCCTCATTTCTTAAAAGGTCTTAAAAAAATCCGGCCCTCAGAACCCTAGGGGTACCCTAAGGCCACAAAGCACAATGTGCTGCCACAAAGCACCACTAGCGATTTCGCGCGGAGGGCGTAGTGAAGTGCTGGGGCGCTCACTGTGTGTTATTCGGGTGGGGATCCATCAGTGGTAAGCGGCTTTAGTCACAGATCCAAGCTCAGATGTCACACCAACACCACAAACACGCTCACTTCGTCGCTGCTGTAGATGGGCCTCCGGGGGCCCATGCTACGTCGAAGCACAGACCCGATCTCGGCACTCACGGGCTGCCACGCGCCCGCGCGCGGCGCGGGCCGCACCGCCCATGCCCCCGGGTCACCAACCCCGCCTCTCGGCCCTCTCGGCCCTCAGGAGCGTGCGGGAGACCGGCGAGGGGCGCGCCGCGCGCCGCCTGCAGAGCCGCCAGAGGCATTGTGTCGCCTCCGCTGGCGGGGTTCCCGCGCGCCCGCCCGCGCCCGCGCCCGCCCACGCCGCGCCCGCGGGCTCCGGATGCGCCGCGCTCCTTCTCCTTCTTCTCGATGGCAGTCCGCGTGTGCTTGTCGACGGGTCGGCGGCGTGGTCGAGGGGAAGGTCGGCGGCGGCCGCAACTCTGCCGCCGTCGCTCCGCCGGCTCTGACCGAGTATCGGGCGTTGAGGGCGGCGGCGCAAAGCGGGTCTGGCGCATCCATCGCCACGAGCCTCGCGGCCGCGCTCGTGGCACACCTGGTGGCGGCTCTCGAGGCCCCGTCTCTACGGCGCTCGACGCCGTGTGAGGTCGCCGGCGGCCGCAACTCCGTGTCTCCGCCGCCGTCGCTCCGCCGGCTCTGACCGAGTATCGGGCGTTGAGGTTGGCGGCGCAAAGCGGGTCTGGCGCATCCATCGCCACGAGCCTCGCGGCGGCGGTCGTGGCACACCTGGTGGCGGCTCTCGAGGCCGTCTCTACGGCGCTCGACACCGTGTGAGGTCGCCGGCGGCCGCACCTCTGCCGCCGTCGCTCCGCCGGCTCTAACCGAGTATATCGGGCGTTGAGGGCGGCGGCGCAAAGTGGGTCTGGTGCGCCACGGCCACCACCCTTGCCACCGCCCTTGCCGCCGCCCTTGCCACCCTTTGCCGCCTTGCCTCCGCCGCGGGCGGCGGTGGGAGCGGCCTGCTGGGCTAGCATGTTGTCCGTGGCTGTGGACGGGCACGTGGAACGTCAATTCATGTTCGAACGGTCTCCGGGATTCAAACAAAAAATAGCCGGGGCCCTCTCGCAACCCCTCCGACCCCCCGGGACCCGTGGGCGTCGAAGAGGCGCTCTCGGGGGGCCGTTCTGAGTTCATGCTACCACGAAGCACACTGTGCTGCGTCAAAGCACCGGCCCCGAGTCCGCTAGGGCAGAGCCAGAGAGGTTGGTATTCACACTCACACTCCCCCACAGCCCATTGTGGATGCGCGCCGCGTCCGCGTGCACATTTGAGCGATTCTAAGATCAGGTCAGGCACCTCCCCACTGGAAAGGGAAATCTAAGTTTCAAATCCAAGCCTCCACACCGACTGCCATTCCCCTCCCGTACCCGAGACACGCATAACGTAATGAACACGGCAGGCTCGCTCGCGTAGGCCTAGTCAGCCCTAAGAAGAAATCCAGGCTCGAGCAGGGGGAGAGTGATTTCTTCTTGGGGGTTCGCGCTGATTAGCGCAGTGCCTCCCTTCCGCTTCGGTCGGCGCGGTACCCACACACTCGTTCGTCCGAGTCCAGGCCCCACAGTCATGCACGCTGTGGCCATGATGTTGCTCTTGCTACACGGCACGCGACACAGCACAGGACGGCTATATTGATTATTCCGCGAAACAACGTCTGGACTTGGACTGAGCATCCGAGTGCAAGTACCGCTCCTTTTCACGCGCGCGCGAGGCGTGCAGACAGGGATGCCAGGGGAGAGAGCGAATGGCGCGGTTAAAGAAAGAAAGAAACCCGACAAACAAAGGAGGGATGGGAGGACGGCACGCCGCCACCACACATGCATGTTTTTTCTTTCCAAGATAACACGCTGCCGGCCCCCGTCGGCCCACCTTTGTCGTCGCAGCGGCTCGTCATCGCCTTTGCTTGAACTCGCTCCTCTCTGGTCCGTGCCCCGCCCCACGAGCCGCCCGCATGAGGCACATCACTCTCTACCACACAACGCACGATATCACGATGCAACCGCACAGCACGTTGCCCGCCGCCGCCGTTGCCCGCCGCCGCCGTTGCCCGCCGACGCCGTTGCCCGCTGCCCGCCGCCGCCGTTGCCCGGGACCCTGCGCCCTCGCCGTTTGCTAAGCTTGATCATGCCCGCCGCAGATGCTCAAGGTTATCCTCTACTTCACCCTCTGCGCCAGCGTGCAAGCGGCGGGACTCACCGTGGAGAATGTCACCGCGCGCTACGGATGCACGTGCAGCTCAAGCAACCCCAACTGCATCCAAGGCTCTTGCATCTCGGACGCCTACACGCAGTGCGACAACACGGGTTGTGTCGGATCCGCTGGTGGCCGCCCTTGGTCCGGATGTGGCTCGCTAGTTGGCGGCACATGCTCGGAGAGCCACTCGAGCGGCGAAATGGCAGACGCAGAGGATGCCGCCAACGGGCTCGCAGTGGGGATCATCATCGTGATCGTATTTGGCGCCCTTCTCGCCTCCGCTGTCCTCACTTGCCTCGTGAAATTTATGCTCAAGCAGCTTTGCGACTGAAAAGCTTCGCACCGGAGACGAGCTCGCGGACGCCGCCATTGTCCATGTCCAAGTTGCAGGTGACCGATTCCGACGAGACCAAGAAGTAGACCACGCATTCATGAGAGGAGAGAGCTCCTCGTCCGGCCAACTGTTGTGTTGACTACGGCCACTGAGTTCTGACGCAGTCGAGAGCGGTCCCGTGCCATATTCGACTTGTACATTATAGAGGGGGGAGGTCGTGAGAGCCGAGAGAGAATAACATGGCGTCCATGCACCATGGCGGCGGGCGCCTGCTTCCTCGTGTGAGAGAGAGTTTTCACGACCAACAAGAAATCTCACAACTCACAGTGATCTCACAAACATCATGTGATCTCTCTCTCTCTCTCTCTCTCTCTCTCTCTCTCTCTCTCTCTCTCTCTCTCTCTCTCTCTCCTCTCTCTCTGTGGTAGACCGGCACGGCTCTCTCCCCCCCCCGCATTTCCGATTCGCGTTGCCTTGCCCCCAAAATACTCTTCTCTCTGTGAGACTGCGCCTCGTTTTTTCGCACAACGACGCCGGTCGACGAGCGCCTGCAGCATGGCCTGCTTCTGCGCCGGCGGGTGCTGCACGCTCAGCTGGATGAGCTGCTGGAGCTGGTCGCGAGAGATCTGCATCCCTCAGCGCAGCAGGCGCCGGGCCGCAGCAGGGTAGGCTCGCGACTTCAAGCTTGGGCTGGGCTCCTGGCCGTGACGGGATGCTGATTTCACAGCATTTGGATTGGCATGCGTCAGCACCAGGCCACTGGCCACCAACCAGCAAGCTGAGCCCCCCCACGTCCAAGCCTCCACACCGACTGCCATTCCCCTCCCGTACCCGAGACACGCATAACGTAATGAACACGGCAGGCTCGCTCGCGTAGGCCTAGTCAGCCCTAAGAAGAAATCCAGGCTCGAGCAGGGGGAGAGTGATTTCTTCTTGGGGGTTCGCGCTGATTAGCGCAGTGCCTCCCTTCCGCTTCGGTCGGCGCGGTACCCACACACTCGTTCGTCCGAGTCCAGGCCCCACAGTCATGCACGCTGTGGCCATGATGTTGCTCTTGCTACACGGCACGCGACACAGCACAGGACGGCTATATTGATTATTCTGCGAAACAACGTCTGGACTTGGACTGAGCATCCGAGTGCAAGTACCGCTCCTTTTCACGCGCGCGCGAGGCGTGCAGACAGGGATGCCAGGGGAGAGAGCGAATGGCGCGGTTAAAGAAAGAAAGAAACCCGACAAACAAAGGAGGGATGGGAGGACGGCACGCCGCCACCACACATGCATGTTTTTTCTTTCCAAGATAACACGCTGCCGGCCCCCGTCGGCCCACCTTTGTCGTCGCAGCGGCTCGTCATCGCCTTTGCTTGAACTCGCTCCTCTCTGGTCCGTGCCCCGCCCCACGAGCCGCCCGCATGAGGCACATCACTCTCTACCACACAACGCACGATATCACGATGCAACCGCACAGCACGTTGCCCGCCGCCGCCGTTGCCCGCCGCCGCCGTTGCCCGCCGACGCCGTTGCCCGCTGCCCGCCGCCGCCGTTGCCCGGGACCCTGCGCCCTCGCCGTTTGCTAAGCTTGATCATGCCCGCCGCAGATGCTCAAGGTTATCCTCTACTTCACCCTCTGCGCCAGCGTGCAAGCGGCGGGACTCACCGTGGAGAATGTCACCGCGCGCTACGGATGCACGTGCAGCTCAAGCAACCCCAACTGCATCCAAGGCTCTTGCATCTCGGACGCCTACACGCAGTGCGACAACACGGGTTGTGTCGGATCCGCTGGTGGCCGCCCTTGGTCCGGATGTGGCTCGCTAGTTGGCGGCACATGCTCGGAGAGCCACTCGAGCGGCGAAATGGCAGACGCAGAGGATGCCGCCAACGGGCTCGCAGTGGGGATCATCATCGTGATCGTATTTGGCGCCCTTCTCGCCTCCGCTGTCCTCACTTGCCTCGTGAAATTTATGCTCAAGCAGCTTTGCGACTGAAAAGCTTCGCACCGGAGACGAGCTCGCGGACGCCGCCATTGTCCATGTCCAAGTTGCAGGTGACCGATTCCGACGAGACCAAGAAGTAGACCACGCATTCATGAGAGGAGAGAGCTCCTCGTCCGGCCAACTGTTGTGTTGACTACGGCCACTGAGTTCTGACGCAGTCGAGAGCGGTCCCGTGCCATATTCGACTTGTACATTATAGAGGGGGGAGGTCGTGAGAGCCGAGAGAGAATAACATGGCGTCCATGCACCATGGCGGCGGGCGCCTGCTTCCTCGTGTGAGAGAGAGTTTTCACGACCAACAAGAAATCTCACACTCACAGTGATCTCACAAACATCATGTGATCTCTCTCTCTCTCTCTCTCTCTCTCTCTCTCTCTCTCTCTCTCTCTCTCTCTCTCTCTCTCTCTCTCTCTCTCTCTCTCTCTCTCTCTCTCGTGGTAGACCGGCACGGCTCTCTCCCCCCCCCGCATTTCCGATTCGCGTTGCCTTGCCCCCAAAATACTCTTCTCTCTGTGAGACTGCGCCTCGTTTTTTCGCACAACGACGCCGGTCGACGAGCGCCTGCAGCATGGCCTGCTTCTGCGCCGGCGGGTGCTGCACGCTCAGCTGGATGAGCTGCTGGAGCTGGTCGCGAGAGATCTGCATCCCTCAGCGCAGCAGGCGCCGGGCCGCAGCAGGGTAGGCTCGCGACTTCAAGCTTGGGCTGGGCTCCTGGCCGTGACGGGATGCTGATTTCACAGCATTTGGATTGGCATGCGTCAGCACCAGGCCAACCGCAAATTTGCACAAACTCCGTGCAAAGCCTCTTCGAACGCGCGAAAGCGCCGGCTTTCGAAACTCGGCGCCCGCCCTCTTTCTGGCCGCGTCCCTCCCCTGTCCTCTCGACTGCTTCCCTCTTTTACATACATAAATCTCGAAGCACACTTGAATGCTCACTTGGCAGGTAACATATGCGCCACGCGCCCCAACCGCTCCTCTGGTCGCCGCCGGCCTCCGCGGCGGCGGCGATGTCCCAGCGCCACCCATCGGCCAGCCCTCAGATCGATCGATCGGCGCTCAAAGTCGGCTTCAGATCCGAGAACGCTGCTGGCGCCGCCGCCGATCCCAGCGGCGACGCCAGCAGCTTCCTCTGCTCTCCAATGCGCCGAGAAGCGACGCGGGGGTGCTCGGCCCGCCATGGACGACGAAGCTCCGCCGGGCGCGCGTCGGCCGGTCCGGTGGCACCCTCTGCGCGCGGCACCTGCCGGCGCCCCGACGACAGCCGTCGCGCCACCGCTGATGGAGGGGCGGTCGGCGCCGCTGCCGCGCGCCGCGCCGCCGGTGGGAGGGGCACTGGTGGTGGCCTGCCTGGCTTCGAGCGGGGCATGGCGGGGGCCGCCCCGTCGCGGTATTGTTTCTTTCTACTAAGCAAAATTCGAGCCAATTGAGGAAACTCTAGCTGGCAGGCTGGACAGCACTGAGGGAAGGCCGATTTCCGCCCAGTGGGGGCTAACCTCGAAATGTGCACCTTGGATGGCTGCGCTCCCTCTTTCACAGCCATCCTTAGCACGGATGGCTGTGAAAGAGGGAGCGCAGCCATCCAAGGTGCACATTTCGAGGTTAGCCCCCAGTGGCAGGCCTGATCTTTCGCTCATTTTTGTGGAAGCGATTTGATCGGTGTGCGTGTGTCACGACCTTCGCGCGGGGGCGCGAAACACGAAATGACAACTCCTCCTCCGAAATGCTCAATTATAGTGCGTCAGTCTGTGGTTGCGCGGTGAATCAGGTAACGGGTCGATGCCACGCTCGCACCTGGACCTGGCGAATGCCCGGTGCTCCCGACGCCAGCAATGCTCCTCGCTTCTCGGCTACACACAGCCCCAAGAGCTGCGCGTTTGCCCGTGTGTAATCCTCCACGTGGCGCCGCACAAGCTGCTCTTGTCGATGGCCTGAGCGGTTGGTGCGGCGGAAGACCCTCGCGACCTGATCGGCGGACGGCTGCAAGTTACAATGAGAGGTAGGAAGGCGGGTTGGGGTGTAAGGCCATCTTGTGAGTCTCCTCTGTCCCGACACACCTCCTCGCGGAAGCCTCTCGGAGGGTTCCCGCTCTGACCGAAGCCGAGCCACTCGCCCAAGTCGTGCGGCACTGCCGACGGCAGCCGGTCGTAGTCGAGGTGTCGATAGAAGGCGCTGTCTATCCGTTCGAGCTGCGGCACCATCTCCTCACGGATAATCTCCGTGAACATCTTGAGTGCGGATGTCGCCTCGCCGCTGAAAAAATGCGAGCGGCCAACAGCAGATGCCACCACGTCAAAGGCATTCCGCACGAGTACCTAGACGAGTAGAGCGGGCGCTGGCAGTTAGCCATTCGAGGAGACGGGCGGAGCTGCACAGTCCCCACGCTCGCCAGGATTCTCAGATCGGCGCCGTGGCTCTCAAAAATTTCGGCAAGTATGCGCACGTTTGGGACCTGAGGCAAGGGACACAGCAGCCACCTCGGCACGGGCCCATTTCGAGGTGGCCCCGGTCCGGTGCGAGTGACCTGGTGACGCTTGCACGCGCCGCCATAGTTTGGGTAAGAGAGCATGCCTGTTCCGGAATCAGTGAGTCGCTGAGGTGTGGAGAGAGGGAGACGCCAGGGGAGGCCGCAAGGAGAGCAGACCAGTACCCCAGCCCATTATAGTGTTGACGGAGATGAGGCCTCCGCTCCCCGTACGCAGGAGCGCGATGCTACGCCCAATCGACCGCACCAGCCCGGGGAACTCGCCACGGGAGGCCGACCACGGCCGGCTGCTCTTGTTGGCCGCCTGCTCGAAACGCGCGCCAAACAAACCTCGCCGGCCCTACCGAAGGATGGGAATTGAGCGGCGATCCGGTGGGTCCGAGCCTACCCAGCCTCCAAGGGCAATGCACCTTGTCGCTTGAGAGCAGCTTGCGGAGCGCCGCGGCGTCGCGGCATCGCGTGTTACCCGACTGCGCGGCGCAGTTCCCAAAGACGCGCTGCAGCAGGTGATGCCCCGACGACTCGACCCCCATCACAAACACGAATCGGTGGCTCGCGACAGCCGTCTTCGGAAGGACACGTGGGTAGCCTCGAGGCTCATCGGAGGGTCCCTCGTCTAGGTGGTGGCAGGTGGGCGCGTCGGGGCCGCGGCCGAAGCGGTCGCGCCAGCGGTGGTGCTGCAGTTTGGAGACGGTGGCCACGGGACCCGACGCGGTGGCCACCATCGACGGTCGGACGCAAGTTAGGGACGTGTCACGTGAACTCGAGTGAACCTAAAATTGCAGAGGCGGTTAGTGGTGCACTAACCCCGAGAAACCCTTCGGGTCACTCCTCATCGCAAACCCTGTCAGCAGTCCTCCTCCGGGAATGTACGTAAGAGCCACATACATTGAAAATGTTTGGCCGTTGCCACCTACCTGGCGAGCTGGGGTGTGGAATAATGGGAACCTTTCCCTCCTGAATGTCAGGAAAAGAAAAAGCCTTGCTCAGGAACTGGCTCATGGCCGCCGATCGCTCGTGGGCCTCTCGATGGTGCCGGGCGGGGAGCGAGCCGCTCGACGAGGTGCTGGTGCGCGACGTGGAGGAGACGCAGCGGCCGCCGATTGCTCGCTACTTTGCCGAGGAGGGCAACGCCTCTCCCGCCTCGCCTCGGCTACAGCGCGCCACACAGCTCGAGTTGCTGAGGCTCTGCTCCAAGGCGCCGCATTCGGCGACGCGCGAGGCAAACCTCGCTGCGCTGGCCGCTTCTCGGCAGCGATTGCTGCAGGCGGACGGCGAGGATCTGGGGCAGGAGGACGAGCTGGCCGACGAGTTGCGTGCCTTTTGCGCGAGGCACGCGCTGTGGCCGCACGGAACAGAGACGCTCGTCCTGCGGCACTTCCGCGTCGGTGGCCGCGGCCTCGCTGCTGCAGCCGACCTGTCTGCCGGCGACACCGTCCTGGCGGTGCCAGAGTCGCTGCTGCTGTCGAGCGAGAGGCAGCGGCGAGGCAACAGCTCCGCACTCCGCCCGATGCCTGGTTGTGAGGCCCTCCCCGCCACACGCCAGGCTCTCGTCGTACGACGGCCTCGCCGCCGCCTTGTCTGCCGCCGCCGGCGACTCGCTCCACGACGACGTGCGGCTCAGCCTCGCGCTGCTGCTCGAGATTGCGCGAGATCAGGCGGGCGCGTGGGCCGAGTACTGCCGCTTCCTGCCCGAGCGGCCGCCGAGTGCGCTGCACTGGGCCTCGCGCCAGCTGCAGAGGCTGGCGCACACCCCGCTCGTCGGCCGGGTGACTGCGGCGCGCGAGGCGCTGCGCGAGGCGCACGCAGCCCTCCTGCCAGCCGCACGGCGGGGACGCTTGAGTGATCTCACCCTTGTCGCCAGGCGCACGCAGCCCTCTTCCCGGCGCTGTCGCTCGCGCTGCCGCAGCTCTTCCCGCCGGCGAGCTTCTCGTGGCGCCGCTTCCTCTGGGCGTACACCGTCGTGCAGACGCGCGGCCTGGTCGTTGGCGGCGGCGCGGAGCCGCGCGCACGCCGCACGGTGCTCGCCCCCGTGGCAGACTTGCTCAACTACTCGCCGACTTCGCCGCTCGCGTGGCCGTCCCTCGAGGCTGCGGGCGCCGCAAGGCCAACGGGGCCGGTGGCGGAGGGGCCTCCTTCAGCCACGCTCGCACTCACGTTCCGGCTGCTGAGCGCGGTGCCGGCGGGGCGGCAGCTCTGCCTCTACTACGGCCACCCGCTCGCCGCTCGAGAGTGTCGAGCACTGGGGGCCCTTCCCCGAAGCTTCTCGGAGCCTTCCTGTAGGCCGCCTCTCCTCGCTCGAGAGCCTCGAGCACTATGGCTTCGTGGACGCGTCGGCCCTGGAGCGAGAGGCGGTCGAGCTGTGCCTCGAGCCTCCGGAGGAGGAGGGCGAGGAGGGCGAGGAGGGCGAGGAGGGCGAGGAGGGCGAGGCCGACGCGGAGGGCGGCGAGGAGGGCGGCGAGGAGGAGGGCGGCGAGGGAGGGGACTGGGCGGCGGCGGCGGCGGCGGCGGCATCCGGTGGCGGGGCGGTGGCTCTGCTCCGCCGCGCCGCCCTCGCGCGAGTTGGGACGACGCACTACTTGCGCGCGAGCGGACCGCCGAGCCGCCGCCTGCTGCGGGCGCTCCACTGGGGCACCGCGCCGGCGGAGGAGCTGCTGCCGCTCGCGCGCGCCGGCGCGGATCCTGCGGCGGCGCCGCTGACGCGCGAGGCGACGGGCCGCGCGCACGAGGCCTTGCGCGCCATCCTCGCCTCGCTGGGAAAGCCTGGCGGCGGCGAGGAGGGCGAGAGCGGCAGGGCGGCCGACGTGCAGGCGGCCGGGCCGGGCGGTGACATCAGCGCCTATCTCGCGTTTGAGAGGGCGGTGGTGGTGAATGCGCACCGGCATCTCGGTGTGGCGGAGAAGAGCGCTGCGGAGACCTAGACTACCTCTAGAGCAAACTAGACGCATCGCGAAATACGCTTTGTGGCAGTGTGGCTGCGCGCCACGCCGCGCACGCGCCCGCGCGCCGCCGCCGCCGCGCGCGAGGTGGGTGGGAGAATCTTGTTATCCAGGAAACCACCGCAAGCAAAAAGATGCAAGAATGCACCTACCGTGTACCGATCTCGACATTGTCGCGGAGACTTACTAAACGTAATCTCTTTTTGGCCCCCTTGGTGCAGCGGCGCCACGAGCTACGTGTCCGTGAGATGGCACCAATCTGCAACGGCCAACAACGCCGCGGCCACCAGCGGCGTGAGGGCTGCCGCCGCCCGTCCCGGGCACCGCCAGCTTCTCCCCGCCGCCGCGGCGTAGCGGCCGAGGTCTGGACGCTGCCCGATGCGTGCAGCGCGATGCACGAGACGGGCGAGGTCGACGGCGTCCAGGAGCGCCGTGTTTGCTCCCCCGGCGCGGCGGGCTGTGCCGAGGTCCCACCTCCGCCGCCTCACCCAGCGCGCGTCGCCAATCACCGCCACTGCAGCGCTCGGGGAGCCAGCCTCCAACGCGACCGTCTGGAGCTGCCCGTGGGCGCAGACGCAGAGGTCAAACAAGAGGGCCTCGCTCTTGCCTCGAACACAGAAGCTGAGACGGATGGCGCCGCTCGACGAGCGCTCGAGCCGCTCGACCGAGCACGACAGTCGTAGCGTCCCCGGCCTCAGACTTCGAGCCAGCAGCATCTGCAAGCCTTGCTGCGGATATCGGGCACCGTCGTCGTCCCCACTGCTGCTTCTGGAGGCCGCGCCGCCGCGACCGCCGTGCCCTCGCAGCCTCGTAGCCTGGCCTGCGAGCCCTAGCTCGTCGAGCACGGCCTCCGCGGCTGGCACTCGGATGTCTCCCGACACCTGAGGATTGTCGAGCGCCTCGGTCTGCTCAAAGACGACAACATTGCAAAGATTGGCCTGCTGAACGGCGCGCGCAAATGCAAGTCCCGAAAAGCCGGCGCCAATCACGGCCACGCGCATACACACTATTTTGCTGGCGAGCCGGATGCCGACACACCAAAACGCGGGCGGACTCGTGAGCTGTAGGGTTCGGCAGGGTTCGGCCAGGCTGGGTATTCGGCGGGTGACCTGTGAATGACCGCACTGTGACTACCAACTCCGTTTCTTGAGGTCGAGCGAGTGGTCGGCTCTTTCTTTTCGATTGTAATCCTCGAGTCCATAGACACCTCACTAGACCCCACATACGGTCTCGTCCGTGCCTCGCAGGCCGGTGAGATTGCTAGAGGTCGAGCAAGCTGCTCTAGCCTCACATGTCACTTCCTGTCGTCTGTTGTTTGAGTTGTGCCCTTCCTTGTTTGTTTGTGCCCTTGGCACCGTGGAGTGCTGGGGGGGGCGACAGGGAGGATGTGGCCCTGAGTTATGTGTACGCCGACTCAGGGTGTGTGGCAGCCAGCTGGCTGTGTGTCTTGTGAGCCTTTTGTGTCTGTGTGTCGCTCGTGCGTGTCGTCATCATCTGTCCAGCGTCCACCCATACCGCGTTGGTGTCCAGTCCGAGCCTGGCTGTTCTTCACCTTTCTACCTACCTACCTACTCGAGTTGGGAGAGAGAGATTGGAGAGAGATTTTTAGCTTCCGGTGATCGTCCTTCCAAGACCCTTGCGCCTTGGCCTTGCTCTCCAAAAGACTTAGAGCTCTTGCTTGCCGCTCTTCTGTCTTCTCAGACTC